GACATGTTTTAATCTGCTCCAAAATTCAAACGGAATCCAGCCGTGGGTTAAAGGGCAAGTAAAGCTGAGATAAAATACTTTTATAAACTTTTAAATGTACTAAATAAAATCAGCTGCATGGAAGAGCAGCTTGTAAAAAATTTTATTACAGACTCCCGTTTGGTTCATTTATAAACGTAAATCAATGACATTAAAAGTATTTAATAGCATATTTAATGCATGCATTCAAACAAAGGAGAAACTTAAAGTTTTTAAACTTTAACTGAAGATAAACAAAACCCCACCTGGGTGTGTGATTTGATGTTAGCTGAGTCCATCTGTCATCGTGTTGTCACCTCTTTCAGTAACTCTTGAGAGTCTGAGCATTTGTGTTTATTCAAAAAATGTAAACTGTTATGGCTTCAAATAAATCTTCGTATAGATCATTTGTTGTGACTTTATCTCCTCCAAATGGGACAGACAGCTTTATTCCCTGGTGGCTGTTTTCAAAATTCACATTAAGACTTTTTATGTTTTGTGAAACAAGGAGTTTAGTTTCTTTTAGACATGTCTCCCAAAAAGGTCAAAAGGATATTTGTTGTTCACATGTGGACCAACACAGAGGGCAGCCTGTTTCACTTACAGACATGAGTCCCTAAGAGGAAAACCTGGAAATTTACTACATCCCTGCAGGTGGGGGATTCATCTGGTGAAGCTATAAAAGTCGTGGAGACATGTTGGGATCTATTCTGTGCAACATCTGCAGAACTAAATGTGGTTTAACGTGTAAAAACAGCAGCTCATCATCAAAACATTCAGGTAAAATCAGAAAAGTGACTTTGGTTTATGTCTGAAGGACAGAATGTGTTGGATTTTAACCAGCACCGCTGAGCAGGAATGAGTTAAACAGGATGCAGACATGAGCTGAAGTCCTTCTGTATCAACTCCACATGTGTGAGGAGCGTGTCCAGTCCGGTCCCAGTGTTCTGCTATTTGTTCATGACAAATGTTGGGAATTTGTCAAGCTGGAGGCTAGATGAGACCGATGTTTTTCCACATGCCTTCCTCTGGGCTCACGGCGGCTATTAAAGACTAATCTGGTGGCAGTCAGATTAAACAGATAAAACTAGGATTAAAACCTCTAACCGAGTTGATTACATGTCTGCAATGTTTTAAAACCCTAATACAAGTGTTCTGATTGATGCTAATATCTTTTTAAAACACCCATTTAATGATCATTAGTGGAATGTTTTCACTCTGCTCTGAGTTTTTTTATTGCTTGGAGATGAAAATGTTCTAATAGGACTAATGTAAATATTTATATTTACTTTAATCTATAGCAGCAGGTCGTATGGATAAAAATCATGTTTTATTTTATTATTAATGCATTTTGCATCACCAGATATGTATTTGCTTTATGTAGGTAGGCTATGTGTTTACATGCACAGAGACTCAGATGTTTCTTTAGTTTTTCATGGTAAAAACAGTAATAAAAACTAAAAGAACCAGTCTTGCTCAAGCTCAGCTGTGGATGGTCTTCCAAGCTCATAGTGAGTTAAAAGGGGCATTTCCAGAATTTTGATGAGTTCGATGTTGATTCTTTCCCTACTATTCAGGCGGGAAAATGGTTTTCTCAGCAGCTGCAGCCTGTTTCGGTTCAGCTAATCTCACCATAAATAAAATAAGAATCTAGAGCATCATTGCCCAATCCTGGTCTTGAAGGGCCAGTATCCAGCATGTTTTAGTTATTTCACTGCTCCAACACACCTGATCTCAATCAGCAGGCTTCTGCAGAGCTTGATAACATGTGCAATAACTACAATGTGAATCTCGCTACATTTGCATACTTACAGCGACAGAACACTAACCCCCACCCTGTTCTGCAAAGAATTGTTATGTTTTTTTACTATTATCTAATGCAGCAATTAAAACATATTAATTATGACCAATAAGATGTGATGAATCCATACAAATATGAAATATCAATCTGACTGATCTTTGCTTATTCAGGGACCATAAACACACTTCGTATTAATTCAGACAGTCAGTATATAGTTTATAAAATGAATTTAATTATTTTTCCCAAACTAACAATTTATACATGACAAGACATGAATAATGAGATGTGACGTGGTGGATGTGAGGTGTTGTGATGGAAGCTAGATGTTGTAGCAACCGTTTTTTGTATCTGAGAGAAATTGTGAAATCTGGGTGTAAAAGAATTTGTTGTTTGGTTCTAAACTAGAGAGTTGTTTATTAAAAACAGCATCAGACGCAATCTGTCGTGCCAAGTCTACACACCCTTGGTGTGGTGGTTCTCGTTCGATCCGGGGGTTGATGGTCACTGCTGGTGGAGTGAACCTCTGATATCAGGAACACGTAGATAGTTCCGATAAGACCCGTCCAGTCTGAGAACCCTCGAGGTGAAGGCAGGAAGCTGGAATGCTTATTAGCATCTAAGGTGGATGTTTGCTTGGCTCTTAGAGAGCCGGCTGTCTGGTATCACTGTAGTGTAAAGCGCTTTGTGGTCCTTACTCTGAGAGGCGCTATACAAGTGCGGGTCATTTATCATTTATCAGCTGCAGCGTTGCAGAGAGGCTTTGACAGGAGGTCAAAGGAAAAGATGGTTTCAAAAATGATTCTTTCCTGAATTGGCCGGTTTGAGGGTCAGTGAGAAACTGAATTAATCGGGAAGTAAGTCTTGTTTTATTAAACTACTTTATTATGATTTCTGGCCAAGTTTGGCCAATCAGAATTTGACACATTTCTGAGTATTTACCAACAAGCCACGCCCTCCTCAGATACAAGATTCTTAACACTGTGAATAAGAATCTTTAACCTTATGTGAAGTGTATGATTGTAAACAATGATTTACTGGTTAAATCAAACACATAGTGATTTGTGATATAAATGGATCATTGTAAGAACAATATTTATTTCAAATTCATTGATTTAAGCACGGATTATTCAAACATCTGATTTAAACATCTTGTTCATTCAATACATATGATTATTTAACTTATAACTATAACATTGAGAAGTCTTCACTTATTCAGAGTGAAGAATGTTAACGTCTAGCGTTCACACAGAGAGTGCAAGAACCTTGGGTGAGAATGTTTGAATGTTTTGTCTTCATGGTATGTAAACAAGCACTGCAGTACCTTCTGGTTCTGGAAGGCCTAATAGAAAGTTGATTTATTTCTGTAGATGAAAGGTCATTATGTTGGTCAATGTAGATGGTAAAAAATGGACCCTTTAGGGCGTTACAACTCCCCCCTTTCCAAGGTCACGGGGTCACGGCAAAGACCACGAGGCGTTGGACAATCTTAGAGGCCCCGAGGACTCAGCAAAGGAAGACAAGCGTTAGTTCTCAGGCACTGAAGCATCAGGAGTGAGGAAAAGCAAACCCTCACACAGAAGAACAGTTAGTAGATATCACAATAAGGAAATTGTAATCCCACTTAGCAAAATCTGCAGGCAGGGACCACGATGAGATGGAAACCAGATCCATGAGCAGAAACAGGCCAGATCCCAGTAATCCGTAGCGATCCAGGAAACCAGAGCAGGAAACCCATAGGATGTCCAGAACTCCAGAAGAACCAGGTGATGAGGCGACGATGTTATCTCATGAAGCGAGGACATCTGGCAAAACTCAGCAAAGCATCAAAACACACACAGGGCATTTGACCGTAAACCCACATAGTTGGTGTCTGATGGAAAAGAACAACAAATAAAAAAAACCTAGGACTGCATGTACCTGTATGTGCTATCTGTATGGAGATTATGTGAAAAGAAGTCAGCTTAAAGGAGTAAATGCAGTAAACTACGTGGACTGGAAAAGTGTTGCAAAAAGAACAAAATAAACAAAACCCTATAATATATGTAAGGGAAAATTAAAGCTTTAGAGCAAAAATGTTATCAAAAATGGAAGACCTAAACAATCAGTAGCTCATAACTGGCAAAAATTTAAATTTAAGGAAATCATAAAAGTCGTGTAATAAAGTAATCAGTGGTAATAAAAATAATGCAAATATGTGTATGAATGCATCTTTAAAAGAATTAATAAAAGAAAATAGAAGAAGGAACACAAGAAATTAATCAGTGTTGTTAGTAATCAAACCTGCATGTGAATGTGCCACAGAATAATTTAGAGATTAGTTTTGTAAAACTGAAATATAAAATGAACTTAATTAGTTACAAAATATGTAAAAATATTGTAGAAATTCTAAAATCTCTAGGAATTGAAAAATAAAAGAAAACTGAATTTGGACTAACTTAACAGTTAGTCGCTGTAAGCAAATAATTATGAAAAGCTTTGATAGCTGTTTTTCTTTAGCAACTCCATGTTGATCGTGTTTAACTCTCACTCAAATAGATTAAATTTTTTAATTTTATTTTCTTCAAAAAGCTCTCCAATCAATCCCGTTAGCTATGTGCATCGGCACTTTACAACTTCCATATTTGATTTGGGCAGAAAACTACAGTAAAGTGATTTCTGTTATCGGAGATTTTGAGGTTTATTTTGAAAGTATTAACCGGATATTGTACATATTGTTAGAAAAACAACTTGATTAAATGACTTGGTTGCAGTTATAAATAATGACCGCTAGAGGGAGGCAAATGCTAGCTACGGCTCTCTTAGACACAATATACTTATACAAGGGTTGATTCAGCAGCAGCCTTCAAGCGACGAAACAAGCTGAAAGTTAAACAACTAATTTATCAGTGTGATTGTTCACTTACATTTTTGCTTTCAATGAGTGTTTATTTAGTTTGATACCCATTGACTTTGTGTAGTGTTGCGTTTCCATTTGGACGCACCGGACAAGCGGCCGATGCAATCTTGCGCCCCGCCCCAATCTGCGTACTGCAGTCAGGGGCTACCATCGGGGGCTACTCATGCATAGTGTGTTTTGAATTGTCCCACACTGCCCTCCTGTGGTAACAATAACAAATGGCAAGAATTAAAAAGTCAAGCCCCAGTAGCAGTATAATTACTTTTCCGGTGCATACTTTCACAATAAAAGCAAAGCTAAGTTTAGCGCTAACATTTGTCGCCTGCGTCAAACATGCGTTCTTCCGGTCAAAGTGTTGTTTTGAAAGGTCACGAGTGTGCTTTGTAAACTCACCCTACAGCGTGTAGCATTTAGAAACCGTCTGACGCAGTCTGCTCAGTGTAGGAGGGAAGTCTCGGAGAGAAGGCATTCTGAATCTGGAAGAATTGTTTGCTAACAAACAGCTACTAGCTAACTTGCTGTTCTTTTGTAACTCACTGAGGTAAGCCAAACAAACTGTTGATATCAGGAGTTTTCTGTGTTATTTAGATTATTTCTGTTCGCTGTAACATTGAAAATATGCAATAACAACTCATCTTGTCTGTACAGGAACGTTAGCTATTTTTGTTTATTTATTTATTTAATCAGAATTAGCTCAATGCTCCATCCGACTACAGCACAACAAACACGTGTAAATCTGACTGTTACCTATGCTTTGATCCAGTTAAACACGTTTTGTTCATCAGACGAGCAGTTTGCGTAAATTATAAATGAACTTTAGAAAGTTGAGCTAACTACAGTTAGCATTAAAGTTCTATTTATTTACCTTGTTGGTTGTTGCGATTAAATATAGAACAGCTGTCTAAAATTAATCAGATTTTACTTTGCAAGGGGGATGGAGAAGGCTAAACAAGATGCCTTTGATAACGCCAGACTTCAGTTGATCAACGATGGCTATGAGAGTGCTTTTGAGTGCATCAACAAAGGACTAACAGCAGATGAAGCTGGAGACAAGACACAGGCCCTGGAGTTCTACAAGCGGGGCCGACAGCACCTCATCAGGGCCATCAGTGTGCCTTCGACGGGAGACGAGTGTCATGGTAGCTCCTGGGAATCGGCCAGACAGATGCAGCATAAGATGCAGGAGACGCTGAACAACATCACCACCCGCCTCGCCATCCTGGAGACCTGCTCTGATGGTGAAGCTGCACCCGCACAGGATGCAGAAGGTCTGTACCCAAAGCTCCACTTCAAAGAGAAGCCAGAGAGACCGACTCTACCAATCCTGCTTGCTGGAGCTGTAGGAGGCGTAGCTGTGAACTGTCCACCCGTGGGTCCAGCTGAGCAGCCTCCAGCTTATTCTCCTCAGGCAGCTCAAGGCCACATATCTGTCTCCTACGGGACAGATTCAGGGGAAATGTCACTGGTTAGGGATGAGTTCTACAACCGTACATCTCACTCAACGCCATCTCCTCAGGGCATGGACGAGGATGGGCAGGAGTTACTGTACATTCCTCATGGCGTCCAGATCTTCTACGTCACACCTGAGGGCCACGTAAGCGCCCCATCATATCCGGGCTACCTTCGTCTGGTGAAGTTTACCAGCGATCAGTCTGACAGGATGCCTGATCGACCACCAGCATTTCTGCAGGTATGACAGGAAGCACTAATTAGCCAAACATGTGTCTGCCTGATGCAATAAGTGCTTAAAAAATGTCACCACTGCTGGCCTGACTCTAGCCGTTTCCCTTTAACCTGATTCTGTGAGGCATGCTTAAGATCTCAGACTGCAACAGTGGGAGGAGGTAGTCTTGTCTGTTATCCACTTCTCTCGCCCTATGAACACCCATCATTTGGGAGTAGTTTATCTCGTCCCTAATCCTGTAGACACTGATGTCATCCTCTCGGGAATCAGGATTAGGTGTGTTTAAAGATAGAAAAAGAAATCATGAGTCATGATTCCTTTGGTTTTATTTGGAGCCGGATTTTAGTCAGCAGCAACAATTTGAACAACGTTGATACAGGTGCTGGCCAGTAAATTAGAATATCATCAAAAGGTTGAAAATATTTCAGTAATTCCATTCAAAACGTGAAACTTGTACATTATATTCATGCAATGCACACAGACCAATGTATTTCCAATGTTCATTACATTTAAATTTGATATTCATAAGTGACAACTAATGAAAACTCCAAATTTGGTATCTCAAAAAATTAGAATATTCTGAAAAGGCTGAATATAGAAGACACCTGCTGCCACTCTAATCAGCTGATTTACTCAAAACACCTGCAAAGGCCTTTAAAAGGTCCCTCAGTCTTGTTTTGAAGGCACCACAATCATGGGGAAGACTTCTGACTTAACAGCTGTCCAAAAGACAATCATTGACACCTTGCACAAGGAGGGCAAGACACAAAAGGTGATTGCTAAAGAAGCTGGCTGTTCGCAGAGCTCTGTGTCCAAGCACATTAACAGACAGGCGAAGGGACGGAAAAAATGTGGTAGAAAAAAGTGTACAAGCTCTAGGGATAACCGCACCCTGCAGAGAATTGTGACGACAAACCCATTCAAAAATGTGGGGGAGATCCACAAAGAGTGGACTGCAGCTGGAGTCAGCGCTTCAAGAACCACCACGAGGAGACTCATGAAAGACATGGGATTCAGGTGTCGCATTCCGTGTGTCAAGCCACTCTTGAACAAGAAACAGCGCAAGAAGCGTCTCGCCTGGGCCAAGGACAAAAAGGACTGGACTGATGCTGAGTGGTCCAAAGTTATGTTTTCTGATGAAAGCAAGTTCTGCATTTCCTTTGGAAATCAAGGACCCAGAGTCTGGAGGAAGAGCGGAGAAGCACAGAATCCACGTTGCATGAGGTCCAGTGTAAAGTTTCCACCGTCAGTGATGGTGTGGGGTGCCATGTCATCTGCCGGTGTTGGCCCACTCTGTTTCCTGAGGTCCAGGGTCAATGCAGCCATCTACCAGGAAGTTTTAGAGCACTTCATGCTTCCTGCTGCTGACCAACTTTATGGGGATGCAGACTTCACCTTTCAACAGGACTTGGCACCTGCACACAGTGCCAAAACCACCAGCACCTGGTTCAAGGACCATGGTATCCCTGTCCTTGATTGGCCAGCAAACTCGCCTGACCTTAACCCCATAGAAAATCTATGGGGTATTGTGAAGCGGAGGATGCAATACGCTAGACCCAACAATGCAGAGGAGCTGAAGACGACTATCAGAGCAACCTGGGCTCTCATAACACCTGAGCAGTGCCACAGACTGATCGAGTCCATGCCACGCCGCATTACTGCAGTTATTGAGGCAAAAGGAGCCCCGACTAAGTATTGAGTGCTATACATGCACATTCTTTTCATGTTCATTCTTTTCAGTTGGCCAACATTAGAGAAACAAACATTTTTTCATTGGCCTTTAGAATATTCTAATCTTCTGAGATACCAGATTTGATGTTTTCATTGGTTGTCACCTATGAATATCAAAATTAAACGTAATAAACATCGGAAATACATTGGTCTGTGTGCATTGCATGAATATAATGTACAAGTTTCACGTTTTGAATGGAATTACTGAAATATTTTCAACCTTTTGATGATATTCTAATTTACTGGCCAGCACCTGTATATCCCGCTGTTGAGTTTCAACAAATGATTATAGCAATTATGACTTTGAATGTTTCTAGTTGATGAAAAGCGGCATTTTTATTTGTTCATCATTGCAGATCATTGGATTTTGTTTCAGAATTACTTCAATGTTTGCTTGAAAATCAAGTCAGAATACTCCTCTTAGCCAAAGTTTAGTTTGGCTAATCTGTGAACCACCTGATTTACATCTGGTGACACACGTAAACAACATTCCAGCCACTGATTAAATTACAAAACAATCACATTTGATCAGTTTAGGTTAAAACACTTTTAACCTTCTCCCACATTCCCTCAGTCTGACCGTTAGTCCTGCTGCTGTTGTGTTGTTTCTGGGGGGCCATGCGTCATGATATTTGACTCATCTGGGGATTTCCCAGGTGCTTTTGCTAGTTGGTGACATCAGTGATCCATATGAGCACAAATGATGAAGGCCGTTTGCTCCGAGCTGCTCTGTAATCCTGTTAGACCTACAGCAATCAGAGGACAACACCCTTCTTTGGTTTGTTTTGCATAAAAAATAATGTTTTGCTCATCAGCATTAAAAAGACAAACCTATTATTTCAATTTTCACAAAAATCAGGTGAAAATTTTAAATGGGTTTTTACAAAATCTGCAATTTGCTCCTATAATACATTGTTTGAATAGACGTCCTCCAGCTGTTCAGGTAACGGTCTGTTGTTGTTGGCAGGTGTGCGACTGGCTCTACCCTCTCATGGCCATGGACTCGCCCGTGCTGCTGTGTAACACCGGCGTGTTCATGTTTCCGGACATGATGGCGCCGGCTCTGGGCTGCTACGTGGGAGTGGTGCTGTCCTCTGAGCTTCCTGCTGCACAAAGAGCTCAGTTTCAGGACCTGTTGTCCCAGATGACGGATCTCAGGGTCCAGGTGTGTGGTTCTGCTTCGTCGTGTTTACAACAACACTGATGTGGATGGATCTTGTATGATGAGTCAGTAAGACAGGGAAACATGGAGCTGTTTTAAGATAATGATGCTGAAGTTGGAGCGCTCTGATGTAATGAGCTTTTGAGAAGTTTAAATTTTAACTTTTTGTTTTATCAGTCCTCAATTTATCTTCTCTAATGCTAAGTTTAGAGTTTTTCTTTGAGTCTAAATAAAAATGTCAATACAGAAAAATAACATTTACTGTATATTCCTCCTAAACATTGACCTTAAAATGATAAAATAACAAGTAGAGAGCATAGACTGCATATATAAGATGGATGGAGCCTCTCACCGTCACCTGCAGGTTTCTGAAGAGCTGAACTGAAGCCCAGGGGCCAGTTCTCACCACCGCCATCTTGGCCACGTTGCACGTCTCGTCGCTCCAGGAAAATACAAAAAATGGAGCTGTGAGGGTGGGGGCTGATGATTGACACCCATCAAATTCTGAGCTGATGTAGCTGCAGGCTAACTGAAGCGAACGATGGTAGGCGGGAGCTTTTAACCAAAAAACCGCTTGCTAAACTCTGCTTTCTAGGCTGTAACTTTTAACTTAAGGCCAAGGCCTTCTCTGGAGCAAGCTGCTAGTGCTAACTCTGACGGCTCGTCTGCTACCTGACAATCAAAAGGACACGCCCCTAATAATCCGTAATTTCAAGTTTTGATTCTAAATGGATGAGTTGCAAATAAATTCACCCCCCTCAGAGTTGCCATGACAGTAAACTAGATCTGTTAAACCTAAAATGTTTTCATGAACCAGGCTGTAAACATGTTTATTCCTGCTGTGAGGTTGGCTTTTTTTAGCATGGGAGTCAATAGGAACTTGCTCCTTTCTGGATCCAGCCCCTAGTGGGCGAGGTGGGAACTGCACCTGTTGTCTCTTACATGTCGACTTTACTTTTGACAAGCGGAGTTTCCCCGTTGGTAGAGACCATCGACATACATATATGGACAATGGGTTTCCATAGGCTCCAATAACACGTTTTTGTACTAAAATGGGAGGTGGCCACCACCGCCATTTTGACCGTGTCACAGGTTCCGTCAAGCCCAGACAATTCCATAAAAGGGAAGAGAGGTGGCACTGAGGGTGGGGCTGTAAGGCTGGGATCAACTGACGACACCCGGTCGAACTAGCTACAAGCTAACCCAAAGCTAATGCGGAGGTGGGAGCTAAGCTAACGGAGGTAGCAACCTAGCTACAACCGGAGTTAACTGAGCACAACACCAGAGCTTCTGAGTCAGAGATACGCCGGGCTGACCGATGGGTAAAACCGGGTGGAACGCAGAGGTCTCCGAGACCTCCACAAGCCGGCAGCCGCACAGCAGACAAGTGCCGCTGCGATCTGAGATGCGCAGAGCTGCCGCTGGGGAGAACCGGGTGGAAAGGTTTCCATCCCAGAGCTCCACAAGCCGGCAGCCCGCCGCAGCACACAGAAGCCACGATCAGACAGAGATGCACCGAGCTGCGGGGAGGCGAGAAATGGGTGGAAAACATCGGTCTCCCGAGAGCTCCACAAGCCGATAGTCGGAACCCAGCTTCAACAACATGTTATATTTCAACCCATTTTCTAAAGTGCAGCAATATGTTAAATGCACTGGGTTTTACCCTATTACATTTAAATTTCATGGTTAAACAGTACATGTTAAAATCTAAGCTCAGCTTGGCAGTGACCTAAAATACATAAATATAATTTTACTTACCGAAAAAAATGAAGTGGAGACTCTTTGGACGCTCTATTAGTGCAATTAATGCCACAGCAAGTCATTTTGTCCAACAATTGCACTAAAAATATCCAAAAAAGAATACCCAAACACAGAGACTCATAATGCCGGAGCAGTTTCCAGGCCAGACCGAGGCTCTACTGAGGCCTTTCCACGGAGCTAGCTCTGTGGTCATGTGGGTCTGATACTCATTAATTATACAGAATTTTAGGCTTTTAATACACTTAAACAGAAGAGTGAGATAAAAATTCAGCCCCCTCAAAGTTGTCATGAGAGTAAACTAGATAATTTAAACCAAAAACATGTTTTGGAACCAGGCTGTAAACATGTTTATTTCTGCTGTGAAATTGGCATTTTTAACATGGGAGTCAATGAGGATTTGCTCGCTTCTGACACCAGCCCCCAGCGGATGAGGGTGGAACTGCAATTTTTGGTACTTCCGGGTTGAGACCAATTTTAGGCCGCATTGTGGGGGCTTGGTAGAGACGAGGCATTTAGTTTGGTTTTTAAGGCTGATGTGGAGTTCTGATTCATGTCCAGCTCTGATGCTCCGACCCCAATTCATGTCAAAGATTTATAACTAACAGCATTTTTCATTGAAGTTTTTGACTAACTTGAAAATTATGATTTTGGAAGCAAAAACGTCCAAATTTAAGACATTTTTATTTCTAGCAGGAAATTCACACTTAGAGATGGAGCTCACAAGCCAGGAAAATGTATTATTATTGTTGTAGTTATTTATATTTTTCTGCAATATAATATTATCATCATCTTTTATTTCTACGTTTTTGATTGTCATTATCGTTTTATTGCTGCAGAGCATCAATGGGGAGATAAAAAAATCAGATTTTTAAGTTTTAAATTGACCGCTCACTAACAACCTCTATTCATTTCTATGTAGCATTTCACAAAAACCTATAATGCGAAGGTTGTTGCTGCAGAGAAAAGATGTCGAGGCTGTTGATTGACGACGAGAATTCCATATTTTTATTGTTTACCTGGCAACTTCCGGCTCTGTCTCACCTCTGATCTGGCATCCCTCCAGCGTAGCCCTGCCTCAGCAGTGAGGGGATTTGGTTCTGGCAGGTGAGCAGAATTAATCAGTCATAATGCTCTTAGGTGCAGAACAACCTCGATGCTTCAGCTGAAACACGAGCATCATTTCAGCCTCCATGGGAGTTGAGGTGGCGCTCCAAGGTCACTGTTAAATGCAATCAGGCTAAGTGTTTTCTCTGATGGACGTGGCGCCCAGTCAGAGAGTAAGTTTCTTGTTTTATTTTGGGTTCAAGCAGAAGATTTAAGGTTTTTAGCTGTGCGGAGCTGCTTCAGAGCGCCGCATGTTTGAAGTAAACAGACAGGCGGCACGTTGTTACGAGAGGAGCTTTTGTTTGATGTGGACAGCAGGGACAAACACTCGGCTTTCTATTTGCATCCCACATTTCATAACAGTAACTCATCGATGTGTTTGTACGATCAGCCAACAGATGATGCAGAAGCCACAGACTCCATTAATCTCAGCAACAAGGTGTCCATCGCAGCACCTGAGGAGGCGGCGCCTGCAGAGGCAGAGGAGGAAAAAGACCTACCGGAGTGGAGTGAAAAGGTGGCGAGTGGGATCCTGACAGGTGAGGTCATGTCACATTTAAAAATGTATTAGTAATGTAAAACAAAAAGTTTATTTTCAGTCCAGACTGAGGCTGTTTGATCCTGTCAGGTGCTTCCTGGTTAAGCTGGGGTCTGGTCAAAGGTGCCGAGTACACTGGCAAGGCCATTCAGATAGGAGCATCTAAACTCAGAGAGCACATCACCCCCGAAGACAAGCCCACCCTCGTTAGCCCCACGGTCACTAAAAGCCTCCACGTGGCCAAGCAGGCAACAGGCGGCGCCGTCAAAGTCAGCCAGTTCTTGGGTGACCGATCCAGTCAGCAGCTTTTCTGACCGTCTGTTGTTCCTGTCTAACTGAGCGGTGCTGTCTCTCTGCAGTGGATGGGGTGTGTACCGTTGCTGGCTGTGTGGGGCGAGAGTTGGCTCCCCATGTGAAAAAACACGGAAGCAAACTGATTCCTGAGTCCATGAGGAAAGACAAGGACGGACGTTCCAACGTAGATGGAGCAATGGTGGTGGCGGCCAGTGGTGTGCAAGGTAGACAAACGACTAGATCTATAGAGTTGTGTTGTGCTTGATTTTAAAATGTTTTAATTGTTTTCTGCTTTATAAAATAAATTTCTGCAGCAAACCTGCAAAACACTGCTAATAATAGAATTGTAATTTATTATCAGCTAATTATTGTTTTGTTTCATATTTTATTAATGGTTGTTAGAGATGTTTTTTCAAACCTTTCAGAGCACGGATAGGCCCATATATGATAAAGCGTTACCATTGGGATTATGGAGATGTCATTTGTTCTGAAATGTCATTTTCTTATTTTCAACCTGAAAATAAGACGTGTGGATTAGACTTGTTAGTTCTGCCCACATCATGACATCACCGTGGATCCTCAGAAAATCATCATGGACCACGAAGAACGAAAATAAAACATCCCACTGTTCAACATGTGTGCACGCAGCTTTATCGTTACTAACTCGAATTTGTAACCATGGAGCTAGCAGTTAGCATTTTGTTGTACTCACTGCTCTGGCCTATCCATTGAGTGGTTTTAATGTTCGAACAGCGCCGGTTTAATGGAGTGATCATCTGAAAACCCCCTCCAGTGGTTTTATAAGCAGTCTGTGACATCAGTCACATTCTGGCTTAGTTTCTGAGAGATTAAATGCCCCACTTGCAACTCAGAGAGAATGGGTGTTAGTGTTTACAGTCCAGTGGAAGAGCATGCAGATTTGGCATTTCCTCAATAGAAAAGAGTCGAACTGGATGAGGCATACCTGTTCCATCCAGCTGTTTGCAATAGCTGGGCGAATTGGCAGCAGATCAGCTCCGTGCACGATTCAAGTGCAAAGCCAAAAACCGCTTTGGGAATGGTTTTATGAGGAGATAAAGTCATAAGAGCACCAAAAATAGACTTTGCTTGATACAGGTTCTTTACAAATGCAGAAACAGTGAAGTTGAAGGAATTTTAGTGAATTGTATTTATTAAAAACGTTTTTTACAGGATTTGCAGCCGTGTGGACGGGTTTGGAAGTAGCAGCTAAAGACATCACTAAAAACGTTGCAGCAGAAACCGTCACCACCATAAAGCACAAGTGAGTCTTTTTGTACCAGACTTCTCTCCCCACCACTTTCCACAGCTCACCATAGTCGTGTCTTTTGCACTATCAAACATGCACTCACCTTTACGCCTCTTGGATTTGCTTTGCAGATTTAGGGGCCTACAAAACGTCTTTGACACACCTAATGAGGAGGGCTGTAATTCTACCTAGCTACAGTCAGCTGTTAAACTGCTAATTACACATATTTCACCCCTTTTATTATCTTTTTTTTTTTGTAATTAGACACTAATTACCTTTTTGGGATGCTTTTTCACTGATTTCATAAATATTTCTAATTCACAGTTGCCACGGTTACTGTCCTCTCTGACTGTAACATTCACTCATACCCTATATATTGGTGTTGCATGTCCTAATAACTGCCACATTGGTGCATTTAATGTCATTAAAATGACTTTTAATTTGGTGGTTTTTGTGGGATTTGATTACCAGGACATCATCTTGAACTTCCAGAGCTTTGTAGGGAAAATAAAGTGAAATTTCATCTACTTATGTTTCCTTTAACACACTTTTTTTTTTTTTGCTTAACTATTTATTTCTGGAGATCTGATTTTCGGCAGCTGGGCTTGTCTGTATGCGACGCATGGGTGTATTTCTAACACTGAAGTTGAGCATGATGTCTTTTCAGTCTTTACACTGCATATTAATGAACCTTCTCACCTCTTACTCCGGCCTTTGACCTGATCCGACTCTGGCGCTGACTCTGAAGGTACGGAGCAGCGGCAGGACAAGCTACCGACAACGCTGTTAACTCTGCCATTAACGTTGGGATCACTGCCGTCAATATCGACAACCTGGGGATCAAAGCGGTGGTGAAAAGGACTGGAAAGCAAACGGCGCAGGCCATCCTGGAAGATTACCACCTTGAGGACAAACCACAACCCGAGAAGCAAGTGGAGAAAGTGAAGAAATAGCTGCCTTCATTTAACAATGCCTTAAAACCTTAATGATCTCAGAGCTCTCTATTTAATATTTATAAAATATTATATTTACAGAGTAAATATGTATACAACGGTTTGACATAGCTTTGAAGCACCAAATGTGGAAAATGGAACACTGCCTAACCCAAACAGAAAGTGGCCCACATAACAGACAAATGCTGTCATTAATCTGAAGGTAGTTGGACCAAAACCTTTCCAAAATATAGGTGTGTATGTGTGTGTTTTCAGGGTACATGTTGAAATAATGAAGAAATCTAAGGTTTGTTTCTCTAACTTTAAATAAAATTCCTTTCTAGCAGCTCCGCTGCTGTTTGTGTTTTTTGAGTCTCCTCTCTGATCACACAGACAATTATTCAAATATTAGTGCTTCCTATTTGTGAGTGAGGTGGTGAAAATATTCCCTAAAGAATCGAGTTTTATCTACTTGCAAAACTCCTCTGAGGCGCAGCTCAGTTGAGGAAAGGTATTTTTCTGAAACCTAATCAACTTTTTTATTTTTTGCCTCCTGTGAGAAATGAATCAAACGTTTAATAAAGTTTTATGTTTTGAATTCTAGCATTAATCTCACAGCTTTTATCTGGAGTATCCAGACCCACAAATGACCAGGCCTTTGGTTTTCTACTTGGGGAAAATACAATTAAAGATATTTTGGTGAGCGTTTAATGAGAGCTCAGAACAAGTGCACACTTCTACATTTCTCAAATACATTACCAAGTCGCTGGATTTCAGAAAATTTGTGTTTTTAATTTCATACAGCTTTTAAAAAAGGAATTTAACGTTTGTTTAATGGGTTCATTAAATCTGGATAAGTGATAAATATGACTTAGTTTAACTGGAATTGACATAGACCGATGTATTGGCTAATGTACCTCTTTAGTAGAGTCAGTTTAGAGTCCGGCACATCCACGGGCAGCTCGATGCTGCTGCAGAATTAAATTTAAATGTATATTTACATTCTGTGTAATACATGCTTTAAAATAGTTTTGTCAACATTTCTTTTTGTTTATCCATTTTCCAAGTTTTTTTATATGTTTGACTTTCGTTAAATGTTTGGTTTTAATACTAAGTAGTAAACAAAATTAGGATTCAAGAGATGGTTCAATTGAGTTAAAAAATGTTCATCCACTTTTGTTATTAGTTACGTTTTAGCCTGTAAATAAGGTGTAAAAAGCACATAGATATTGGCCATCAGCATAACCTCTACAAATCAGTATTAGTAATATAAAATCCTGTATTGGTTGATCCCTAAAACGGAGCAACAGCAACATCAAATTTTATAATATTGGATTGTAACCAATAAAATTCAGTTTCTGAAAAGTGAAGCAGACCACGAACCACTATTAAGATATGGTACATACTCGAGAGTTTATTAAAGACAAGCACAATTAAGCTCAAAATTCTGAACAACACCAAGAACGTCAACCGACGACAAAAAGAAAACATCAGTACATCTGTTTCCAAATATGAGACAGAAAAAAATCTAAGAAATTGTAAACTGACATGAGATTAATGTTTAGTCATTATCAGTACTTATTTCTCTGATAGTAAGTGCATTTTATTTATATAGCACTGATTAAAGACATAGAATCACAAAGTGCTTCACATAGATCAAAACTAAGTCATAAAATCATAATGATCTCAAAAATAAATAGATTAACATTAGAAAGTCATTGAAGGATCATTGGCTAGCAGTGCCTGCACCACATTCAGGACAATCCAGATCCTTTTCATGTGTCGCTCCGCAGATGTGGAATGACCTACCAAGCACTTCCAGAACAGGGGCTTCCTTGTCGATTTTCAAGAAACTCCTGCATCTTCTAAACTAACACCCTCCCAGCACCCGTCCCCTCACTCTTCTGCACACTCCATGTTCGCTTCCCTCGATGATTCATTATGCTGCCTCGCTGCCACCTAGGATTGACTGAATAGTGTTTGTTGTTAGCCTCAAGGGCAACCTGCTGGCTTGATTATCACCTGTAATTTGCTTTGGACAAAAGCGTCTGCTAAATATATAAACATATTAAATTTCATAAACAGAGGAAATATGATTACAAATTTGAGTTAAAAATAAGAAAACAAAAGATTTATGTAAAAGCAGCTTTAAATAAAAAGGTCTTTAGCTGTTTTTTAAGTAGATAAAGGAAGATCATTCCAAAGTTGGGGTGCAACAGTCTGGAAGGAGCGATCACCTCGACTTTTATATCTAGTCTTTGGAACTTCTAGAAGGTTCTGGTGTGTGGACCCGAGGGCTCGGGTTGGAGCATAAGGCTTTAACAGTTCAGTAATATAAGAAGGAGCTTGACCATGTAGAGCCAGAAAGCAGCTCATAGCTGCAAACCCAAACTTAGACCTGTTGTGGGGTGGAGCTATGGGGCGTTCAGGTGAAATAACCAACTCTTAACTCTGTGTTTTCGGTACTGGTGCTGCAGGATGACTTCAGCTGCATGTTCTGCTGCTGTCAGTTCAATCAGGGGTGAATCAAGTCAACATTAAAACTCTTCAGATTGTAGGGTTTATGGAAATTAACAGATATGGAGACTGCTTGAGCAGAATTGACTTCCATTTGACTTGAAGTTGGGCCCAGTCCTGTCTGTGGTGACATGTGACTGATGGTCACACGTGGTGCAAAAGCATAAGAAGAGAGCTTCACATGCAGGCTATAGAAGCAGAAGTTGATCCACAGTAGCATTTTCCCCTCAGTGGTTCTGTCTAACAATACTAGCTTAGGTGTGCAAGCTGTCAGATTCACCTTGAATCTGATCCATCGTCACTGTAGTATTAGGCAGATGTACTTGTTGACAGATCCTCTGCTGAGTGCTTCCTACAGCAGCACATCCTGAAATAAACAGAATGAGATCGATAGCAAACTGCACAAACAAATAAATGAACTGTGTCAAGCAATAGGTTTTGACAAGATGCTCTTCTAAACAGACATTTTTCCTAAAACATTTTTCCTTTTGAAATATCAAGTCTTTAAATTACAATACTACAGCAGCTTTGCAATATAATAAACTGTTCAAATAAAATTGCCATAAATAACTTCCTCATTGAGAAATTCATTTATCAAGTAAGTTACTTATCATTAACTTAGATAGCTACAGGATGCAGTAAACCTACTTTAATCACCATGCTTTGTTTGCTTTCAGTGATGTACATAAATGATATGACTGGAAAGACTTTATCCTGGGTGTGTCTCTGTCTCAAAGTAAACCACTGTTATCAAGATGGTAAGATCCTTCTGTGAAATGCCTGAACTGCATTCATTTGGAAACTGAATTTGTTTTTATAAGTTAATATAGTAGCCTGTAGTTGAAAGATTATACCGTGTTATGAGACCTATAGACGGAATATTTAAGTAATTAGTCATTTCTTTCCACTCTATAGAATTATACATTAGTGTATGACCTGTTTTAATTGAAAACCAATTAACTGGACTGTGAAGTCAAATTTTTTGTAAGCTGGTTGGAGACACACACACACACACACACACACACACACACACACACACACACACACACACACACACACACACACACACATCCAGGGTGAAGACCAACTAAAAGTTCCTGTAAATTTGAAACTCAAACGTCACGTTCTTGTCACGTTCAGGAAAGCCAATCATAACAAATGCTATGCACCTTTGTTAGTGGGCCTCACCAGGAACTGGATCCGCTGTGGGGGGAAATTTGATGTCAGGTGAGTAGTAGACTGTAGTCAGGTAAATAATAATTAAAACCTTCGAGATATTTTAGTTTAAAACAGTACAAAACATCACATCTGAGATAAGTATTTGAAATGAAAAAAAAACGACTATTAATGTTTCTCACATTTAGCTCTTTTTAAAAAAATATTTCCCGCGTAACCTTGTTGTTATGGAAATTTGGCCCCCAGCAGACCCATATAGAAAGAATTGCATAAATTAGTGAGATAATTTCGACTTGCGAACTGCATTTTAGAGATATTTGCTTTCCTAATGTAAGGTTACGTGAGCGCGCATCAGCTAAGGCGCGGCGGTGGTTCTTTGAGCGCGTGCTCCCGACATTAGCGTGCACGAGGCAGGCTGACACCTTTAGCGGTCTGCTAAATCACCGCAATGGAGCAGGAGTAAAGAGGGAGGGCGGAGGACACCGGCTGCCCTGCCTCCAACCCGCATGTGAGCAGACACACAGCAGGAAGGCAGAGCTCCGTCATCACAGGGCAACAAAGGGATGCACGCTTCACCCAAAGCATCACATAAGTAAGATTATTCCTGCACTTTTCTGCTCCTGGATTCCGTTTGATCGCATCTCCCCTCACCTTAAAGGTAAGATGTTACCCAGAAAGGAGAAAATCTTGGTCTGAATCATTAATTTTAAAAATGCTGCTTGCTCTGGATGTTCAAACATTTAATTGCATTAATTTGATTATCTATATGAAATGTAGATGAATCTTTCATGACATGATTGAGACACATTAGGGAGCATACAATGGGTGTGACATGTTTCTTCATTTTGTGTTTATTAGCATTTGCAGCATCCCATTTTGCATGAATCAGGTCAGGTGCAAAAGCTCTAATGCTCCAATGTGGCTATCATGTGGGTTCAAACTGGCTTATTAGAAAGTGTAAGCAATCTGTTTTTCTTTATTTAGATATAAATAGCACAACATGGAGCTGGAGCACTTTGATGAGCGGGACAAGGCTCAAAGATACACCAGACGGGGCTCAAGAGGTAATGGTCTCCCCAGTCCCACTCATAGTGCTCACTGCAGCCTGTACAGAACCAGGACACTGCAAGCTCTGAGCTCAGAAAAGAAGGCCAAGAAGATCCGTTTCTACCGCAATGGTGACCGCTATTTCAAAGGGATAGTGTATGCCATTTCTCAGGAGAGATTTAGGTCCATAGAAGCCCTCCTTGCAGACCTCACAAGATGTCTGTCAGATAATGTCAATTTGCCCCAGGGAGTCAGGACCATTTATACCATTGATGGGGAAACCAGGATTACCAGCATGGACCAGCTGGTTGAAGGTGAGCTTTTTTTTACTCAAGCTTTGAATTGTAATGTAAAGTTATTTTAAAGTGACAGTGTGTAATTTCCCTGGTGATATGAGGCAGTACATACCTAAATCATTGCAAGCAAGCAATATTTTGTGTTCAAATAAGACCTTACCAACGGATGGCCATTAGGGTCAAAAAACCCTGGGAGTGCAACCTCCAGCAAAATGACAAGCACATCAGTCTCCCTTTCATCACTGGCAATTAGTAAAAAGGGAAATGTGTAAAACACAACGTTTATTATTGGTGAACGTTTTGTAACCATTTGTTACAAATCAGTAAATGTGTTTTGACCTCATGGGCTTCCGTATAAGGAAACATGGCATCCAATATAGCATCGCCCAGAGACTTAGACCTACCCCCATGTATTTTAGAACAGATTTTTATGGTTAGATGTTATAAAACTGTCAATTCTTTTCAACAACTGGGCATCTTTTCATTCATTTACAACAACATTTTGATGGATATTTCCAGAGATTAATGGTAAAAACCACACATTGTCACTTTAAAAACATAATAAATGTGTTTGTTTCTCAGTCTTCAAAGAAAAAAACTGTTTGCATTTTCCCACTAAAATTAGTTATCCTAATTTTCTGCAGGTGAGAGTTACGTCTGTGCATCTATAGAGCCCTTCAAAAAGCTGGAGTACACAAAGAATGTAAATCCCAACTGGTCAGTAGGTGCCAGGACTGCAGTGTCTGCTCGTGATCCGTCTTCTCTCGGTAGTGCCAAGGCTGGGTCCCCAGAAACCAGGGAGAGCAAAGACTTCATAAAGCCCAAACTGGTAACGATTGTCCGAAGCGGTGTAAAACCTCGCAAGGCTGTGCGCATCTTGCTCAACAAGAAGACTGCACACTCCTTTGAGCAAGTCATGACTGACATCACAGATGCCGTGAAGCTGGACTCTGGAGTTGTCAGAAGAATATACACCATTGATGGCAAAATGGTAGGTCTCATTGTGAAGCTCAGATCTTTCTGCTCATTTAAGAAATGTTTAAATTTGGAACATCACATTGTAAACGTGAGTTTAAAATGGGGTCTTACTAAGTTCCAGTAACTTTGGGGGTCTTGAACTTATTCAAAAAGCAGTTGAATGGACTTGAGCTTTAGCAGTGTGTCTACTATAGGAGTTGTAGAATTTCCTGGGAGGGGTAAAAGTCACACGGAGATACAATTGCTTGGTCTTCTCAGCCATTATGTCACCATACAAAGTCGACCCTTTCAGGACTTTGCTTTGACGTCTGCATGTTGTGATCATTCCAGCAATGAGCGACATCACAAATCAGTGTCCAAAGGCATCTATGAACATTAATAACAATAAAATTCTGTCAAAGTATACTGTAATTTATTCCATTTAGGAGACTGAGAGAGCAGCTGTGCGATGTAAAAAAAACAATGTTTGATGACCAGAAGGAACAGTTTTTACGATGCTTTGTGAGACCACAAAGCTGGCGTAAATTATAGTGTTGTGGGGGGATTTCAGCCACATTTTTCAACATTAGGAGTTTAGAAATAGCAATTTTTTAAAAGTAGCATGAACAACTATTTCTTCTGCCCTGCATCATCTGCAACTCTTCCAATTTTCAAATTCTATTTGTTGTTACGACATCTGCCAACATCAGTTCCTATGGAGTTATGATCCATCTGCATGAGTTAACCATAAATCATGCTCAGCGATTCCTCCAGGCCTTTCCAAGTACATACGGTACTCTCCGTTTCAGGTACTCTGTTGGCTCCTGAAATGGCACAGAAACTGGTCTTTTCAGGAAGGCCCTGTGACATAAAGACATGCCCATGACGCGTGGGTCCGGTAAATTTACCCGGAAGTTCTGAGAGTGGAAATGGGCCTGTTGTTTGATATTTGCAACATTTAGTTTGATCCCCCTGCATTAATTTATTTATGTAACCAGAGGCACAATAAGCTTCACTAACCAACCGTGTCTGTCAAAATGTCAGCTGCATTTGCTATCTCTGACTTCATTCCCTTATTTTAAGTCAGACAGAACCAGTTGTAGCCATCAAAGGTGCTGTGCATTTTACACCGTGCTGTAATCTTTTCCATGTTTCTCAGCCACTGAAACATTAGTTGCTAAAATGAGAACCATCTCATCTCACCCACATTAGAAGTTTAATCCAGCACATTAAAGCAGCGCTCTGTTCTTCAGTCGCTTCTCTGGGAATTGCTTCCTTTCCCAAGTAGAAGGGCAGTCCAGTACGTTTAAAGTCAGCTGGGAATATTTCCTAAATGTATTATGAGAAATGGGTTTCTAGGACTCCGTCTCGTATTCCTACCAACAGTAGAAAACTATTCAATAATGAAATCCGATTGGAAAATCCGCTCTGATTCTTGGCTCCAAAACATACGACTATAGATGGACTAGATCTTTCTAGATGGTGATCATTATGAATTAGGCAACTATTGGCTATCATAGGAAGTTAATAATTGGCTAAAAAATAATGTGGAAGGCCTATAATGAATTTATGATAAAAAAAATCAATGATTTGAAATTTGTTTATAAATATACATGTTCAGTCATCGGTGGCTGTGACCATTTTTGCAGGTTTCTAGCAAATGTTGCTATGGAATCCTTTTTTTTTACAGATTCAAAAATCCATTATAAATATAAGACATAAAAACTGACATATTAAAAACAAAACACTAATTAAAAAGACAACTATACCAATTTGTCCACATACTTGAAGGATACTGCACATCACTAAGCTCAGTCAAATGCTTAATGATGGAGTTACCTGTAGTCAACACATTTGTAGATCATATTTTTCATCATACCAGGAAATGCACCGACAAAACATCTCACTTGCACTGTGCCATCTTGGTTTCCTGAGTAATATGCACATGCAATCATTATGAGTAACTTGAATCTTACATTTAATAAATACGTTTGCTAAAGAACATGTTTTGCTTACTGATGTAAGCTAAATGAACCTGCAGGAGTGCACACACATGGGTTTTTGAGCTTCACCGTGCACAAAGCAGCAAGATGAAGCAAATGTCCTAAATATATTCCCAGGATAGAACCCAGTGTGTGAAAATATGCAAAGGTAACAGTTTTGTGTATACCCTTTGGAGGAGGTTGTTACTGCAAAGGAAACAAAACTAGCTACCTTGAACACCATGAAAACATTTTGTCATCCATTCCAAGTAATAAGCTGCTTCGCATGGCTGGAAATGAGCCTCTACACCATTCTGTTTCTGCTCCATATTAAGAACTTTTTGTCATGTTGTGCCTCCAGATGGCCAAAAGGGCACCCACAGGGATCAAAGGGCCGGTTCTGATGGGCGTTTAACCTTTAATAAACCAACTGCTTTGGTTTTCAGGTCTGGTTGATCGTGGCTGGATATATTTAGCTTTCTGAAGCAGTTCAAAATCGAAAATTTCCTCGTCAGTTAGTTATTTTCTTACTAACATTGGTTCCGACTTCTCATAATAGATTCTTTGGTCACATATGTTGCTTAGGTTATGGTAATAATAGTAATAATAATGGGGCTTTTTGCTGCTGAACCCCTTGTGAATTAGTTTTAATCATTCTCTCAACACAACTGAGTGATAGTTTATACAGTGTTATATTTTACCTCGAAATGCATCAGTGTCCAAACATCCTATAATATTGGGATGTTTTTTAATTACAACCTTTTAAAACAGAGTTGTGTTGACATTTAGCTGCTCAATTATATAATCCTGGCTTCTAATGGCTAGGAATTGAAAAATAAACCATAAATCAAATCTTGACAATCAATATTTAATGCAGGATGCTTCTAGACCTTGGTAATTGTGTGTGTCAGCCGGGCTTAATGGTTATTGGAGATGTTGTGCCACTGAGTCAGAAGGCAAAAAAGAGCTTGTTGTAAGGTTCTTATTTCCAATGATAAACATATTTACTTTGTTGTACGTTTAAATCATCATTTTGCCTCAGTCACATATTTTTATTTAAATAGAAGAAAATAGGGGAGGGATGCCAGTGATGAGTAATGAGGCCATCTGCACCACAAGACTACAATAATCCCTCCTCCTATTTGCTTTGTGTTTGAATGACCTTTGACCTCTATTTTCAGGCTTTTTGTTGCTTTTAAAGCCAGTCTATGAATCTTATACTGATTTTTGAGACATTGTAATTAGTAGTGTTTTATTGTTAGCACATTTGTTATATTCAGTTATCCACTTGATGTCATTTGTCTACAAAAGCAGCCAGAATGTCTTCGAGGAAATGAACACGCTTGTGCCTTGTTCACCAATTAAAGTAGTTCTGTGTTTTCTGTCATACAATAGGAATAAAATGACTTCTAACTTTTGAAAGGGAAACATTCGTCTGGATTTATATATGGTGCTCCAGCTAATAGTAATTTGTGTTAATGTGATTTGGATTGTAAATGGTTTAGTATTTGAAGAAACATAACCTTTGCTTTCAATTCAGGGATCGTTCTAAAGATGCATTGGGAGACTGGCTTTTGGGTTGAAACTGACAAAAATGTCTTTGTCAGGTCACATGTCTTCAAGATTTCTTTGGGGAAGATGACATATTCTTTGCTTGTGGCCCTGAGAAGTTCCGCTACCAAGATGATTTCAGTTTGGATGAAAATGGTAAGTGATGCTTTGATTGGTGTGAGAATGGTGTCAGAGTGGTATCAGGTTCCAGACATTAACCTACTGTTTTTTCATGCCTGTGTCTCAGTACATTATAAAAAATGGCCAAATAAATATTCTGTATTGCAAATGTGCTGCTTTGCAGACTGCAGGGTGACTAAATCATCATCGTACGGTCGGCTCCCTTCAATTCATGGTCGCTCTTCCCCAAGAGGTGGTGGGATTTCCCTCCGAAGTAAGTCTCCCTCTTCTCCTGGCTCAAGTAAGTCTGTCTTAAGTCCTGGCAATAAAAAACACAATCACCATTTATTTTCTTACATATGTGTGTCACATTTGGCTTTTTCTAACAGCTAATGGGACAGCAGGCAGTCAGCTGTCCACACCTCGTTCTGGAAAGTCTCCAAGTCCCTCTGCAACTAGTCCAGCTAGCCTCAGAAGACGGCAGGTAGGAACAGTTCTGTGGTTATTTTGTAGCTATTTAAATGTTCTTTAGGAGTAGATCTGAATAAACAATCTAAACCAGGGTTATTCAATTGCGGGCCTGGAGGGCCGGTATCCAGTAGGTATTAGTGGTTTCTCCAGTCCAACACAATTGATTCTGTGGTTAAATCAGCTGCGCAGCAGATCATCAGGCTCTGCAGAAGCCCGTAAATCACCTACTAATTGAAATCAAGTGTGTTGAAGCAGGGTTAAAACTACAACGTGCTGGATACCAGCTCTCTATGCCAGCAACCTTCCTTTTCTCCCGTCTTGGTTTGAGAGGTGCCGGACGGCAGTTTATTCTAGCTTCAGCTTTGCTACTATAAATGCCAAAATCCTCCCCAGGGAGCCGCAGCAAGTCCCGTTTTGCAAACGCTATGGTCCTGTAAAAACAGCTTATACTGTATGTCCTGTCCTTCCAGGGCTCTCTACACAGTGGATCTTCACTCTCATTAGCCTCTACTAAGATATGCAGCTCAATGGATGAATGGGATGGGCCCAGTAATGAAGGTAGGACATTCAGTAACAGTGTTCCCACAAAGAAAGTTACTAGCAGGTAAATGTCTTTAAATGTCTCTAATATTGTTTTAAAGCTGAACATTTGGAGGAGGGCTCCTCGTTTCCTGGCTCCATAGCAGACCGGTACAAAATTGGAAGGGTTTTAGGTGATGGGAACTTTGCTGTGGTTCGAGAGTGTGTGGAAAGATCAACTGGTAGAGAGTATGCTCTCAAAGTCATTAACAAAGAGAAATGCAAGGGAAAGGTGTGTATGCTTCCAACTTTCTGAAAATGTACCCAATTACTAAATTGGTGCCAATGAGTTTTTTGAGGGGTTTTAGTGCTGGGTGATATGAAAAATAAAATATTGCAACTTTTTTTATTATCTATTGAATGATTTTGACCACTATCACAGAAGCATTGCAGTTCCTAAGCTGTTGTAATTCAAATGAACAGCTCAAGTTGCCCTATTTCTTTTTGTTATTCACACGATAACTGAGGCCTGCGTTATTTCCTGAAATTGTTCTGTTTGACTAAACTGTGTCTTTAAAATTCATGCATCACTCAGGAGCACATGATACAGAGTGAAGTATCCATCCTTCGGCGTGTGAAACATCCAAACATTGTGCTTTTGATTGAGGAAATGGACACTCGCAGTGAGCTTTATCTTGTTATGGAGCTGGTTAAGGTACTCTCCATCCGTTGTGTCTGGCAAAAAAATAATTCTGCAGTTTTTAAATGACTTTAAAATGTGTACATTTTGTTTTTGTTTGATCCAGAGGCTTGTTATACAAAGCTAGGGTTGTCCTAAATCTACATTAAGTGAACGTGTTCATGTAACCATTTCTCCAGGGAGGAGATCTCTTTGATGCCATTACGTCTTCCAACAAATACACCGAGCGTGATGCCAGCTGTATGCTGTTCAACTTGGCAAGTGCCATCAAGTACCTTCACAGTCTCAATATTGTCCATAGAGACATCAAACCAGAAAATCTGTTGGTAAGTGCTACTTTACAAAACTTCCCTGACACATCGTGTTTCCTTCTTTTTAATTTCAATCTTTTTATTTTTTTGAATAAAATTGTATGGAATAGATCATTTAATACATTTAAAAACTGAGTTTGATGTGGGTTAGAATTTGTTTTGTTCACTAAATCTAAAATATGACAGAGATTCTAACCTAAATGAGTTTATTCAGTCCACCTAAACGGAGAGGTAAACCTTTGTCACTCATCTAAAGGTAGAAGAGGTTATGACCTGCGACCTTCTGGTCGAGTGTGTCTGGTGAAGTCATCGCCCCAAAATAAAAGTGGAAGACCACAGCAGCACAAATGAACACAAACGCAGCACTAACCACTCCACCCATTTACGTGGATTTCTGATGTGGGTGGGGTGCCAGCTTGATCCACGTGATTTTAGTCAGTAAGTTAACAGGCTTCTGTAGAGCTTGACAACATGGTGAATAGATGATTTGTCCATTGAATTAGGTGTGTTGGAGCACAGAAACAACTGAAACATGCTGGATAGCGGCACTCGTTTTGGTGTGTGATCCATAAACTGCCGGAGATGGGCATGGCTCCCCACGGCCCTTATAGGAAGAAGCAGACATAGAAGATGATTGCATTGATGACTGAAAAACTCACAATTGCCAATATTAAATTTAAAGTAATCTATTACGAGAAGTTTTTGGTTACGGCATCATCAGGTTTGGGGTTTAACGTTTGTTTTAAACGCAACAAGCCTTACAATGAAACTTTTAATAGCTGTTATTTATTGACTTTATCACTTTGGCCATTTCTCAGTACATTCTTATGTACTAGACAAGTATTTTCTACCGAGTATAGGAGGACAAGTACAGCATTTGTAACAGAACCGTACCCCGCTGCGTCATGGCAACAAGTGCAGCTTGTTTCTAGTGAAACGAAACCCCTTTATCTGTATTATATTTTGTCCACTTTTGATCTAAACTGATACAATGCCAGAATGTTCTGCGGTTAAATTATGCATTTTTTTTTCATCAAAACAGCTACTTTGCTTTTATTTTGAAAGTAGGTTAGCTAGCTAGCATTTGGAGGGATCGTGAAAAGGAAACCCAAAATACACACAGCAAGTTTTACAGGTTACACACAATTATTTACAACAACCGACAACTTATTCCTTTAATCAAATGTTTGATACAAAACAGTTTTTAGATTTCTGCTCTGACACTGAGTACAACGGTTGCAACACAATGTATTGTGGGATACTTTGCTGTCCCAAGTCGGCAGAAGGATGCATTGATGCATCCTTGATACAATGGGTGGAGCAATAACACATCGGGGATCTTTGAGTAAACTTGCCATGAGGCATATTTAGGACTGGAACAGTTGATGTTTCACAAGGACGTGAGTACACACGTACAGACAAGTATGCATATTGTGAAACGGCCTTTATTTCACAGGTGTACGAGCATCAGGATGGCAGCAAATCTCTGAAGTTGGGCGATTTTGGCCTGGCTACTGTTGTCAATGGTCCCCTGTATGCTGTTTGTGGAACACCTACCTATGTAGCACCAGAGATTATTGCTGAAACAGGGTGAGACACGACGCAACAATTGTGAATAATCTGAAACAGCTGCAGTAAACTGGAACATGTGAACTAGAGCAGTTCTCTCAAACCCTTTTGTAATTTACAGTTACGGCCTTAAAGTTGACATTTGGGCTGCTGGAATCATCACTTACATACTGCTCTGTGGCTTCCCCCCTTTCCGTAGGTACGTACTCCTGCTTTAGAGATTAGTAACTGTCTCATTATAGGCGATATTGTGGTGTAACTTGGGTTTAAAGTTTGCACGATGTATATTTTAAATTATTTCAGCTCCGGTGAAGACCAGGAGGCCCTTTTTGAACAAATTTTGAAGGGCGAGCTTGACTTTCCAGCACCATTCTGGGACAATATTTCTGCCTCTGCAAAGGTTGTGTGCTCTCATCTACCATGATTAAGTTCTATATGAAACACCCCAAACACTTGGATCAGATGCTGTTATGTTTCAGGCTATATATAGATTTTTATTGGCAACATATCCGTGTTTAGGCTCTGATCAGTGGGATGCTGCAGGTAGTGGTGGAGCAGAGATACACAGCTGTGCATGTGATTGATCACCCCTGGGTCAATGTAAGTCCAACCTTTCACTGAACACACACACACACAACTGTATAGATGGGGAAGATGATGCTGCAATGAAAGTGATGGAGATGATGAAGCTTGCCGTCTGTATTTTTAGGGTGATGGTTTATCAGAGAGGGAACACCAACTTCCTGTGGCTGGAAAAATAAAGCAACATTTCAACTATGGACCCAAGATCAGCAACACAACAGCTGGAGTTTCAGTGATTACAGTAAGCACTCATCTGTACCCCTCCACACACCGACACTTAATATATTTCTGTTTTTAATATCTTTTAGCATTTTTTTCATGCGTTATAATTCCACACACAAAAAACATTTAAAGGGATACTTTGCAACTTTTTAGTATTTTAAATCAGTTTCTTGAGCCAGTGAATAACCCTTTACAGGGTTAATGAAATGTCACTCTGACCCCCACCACCCGCTGTGGCCTGAATACCGCATTTGCTAAAAGCAAGACTAAACTGTCTAGTCTCCCTTTAATCTTTTTTTTTTTACATGCTTCTTGTGTTTTTTTTAAACAATCACATTTGCTGGTATTATTTGCTTGTTAATGGGCACCTTGTCTCACTACCATGCCTTTTTGTTTACTCTTGCCTGTCATCCTAGACTGTCAGCACTGTTGTTTGGTGGTCTGTTGTGCTCATTAGGTGAAGTTGACATAATTTTCTCTCGATTGTTTCAAAGCTGAGCGTTTGGTGAGATGCTTGTCATTATTTTTGACACAGAAGGATGAAATGAGTAGCATTCTGCTGCATTTCCACATGTGGATAAATGGCCCTAGATCATTTATTGTTTAGGAAAATCCCAGTTTCCACTGCTGGTGTCATTCTTCTGCCACTATCAAAGCAGCTCTGTGATGATCAGGTCATCAATGCATGTGAGTTCAACGTGATCCTCTGAGTTGCGTTCATCTCCTTCTGCACAGCCGCACCAGGACTTAACCCTGCAGAAGTCAGGGTCTTTGGACCAAAACCAGCATCCAGGATTATGTTGGATAAGGTATGACCAAGCAAAGTGCTAAAGTGCAGTGAGTGCTTCCATGGCAAAGTGCTGGCAGTCTCAATTTCCCCACTCCCCAAAGGATTTTACCCATCATCTATCAACAGTTCATTTTGTGTGTCATCAATTTCTTGCATTACTTCATCTCACTCTTTGTGCTGTTGGTAGTTTCTTCTTAGCATGTTGATTTTCACCTTGCATTCAAAAGTTGTCTTTGTAATGCAACTGCATTACACCCAGGATCTGATGTCATCTCCCTTACTTTGTCAATTATTGTGCTTCAATGAGTTAAATCAGTTACAGCTTTTGCATGTCAGCGTTGGCTCATCTATAATTGTCATATCTTAGTACATGGATGCTACCCTTCCTTTCTGGTTTCATGGAGAACCTAACCTGTGCTGCTGTGTTGCCCTCTCAGGCCACGCCACTTGATAAAAAGGAGCAAGTTTTCCGACGAAGATGCCACCAGGATGTAAAGCACGCTCCCAACTTCCCACACAGCACTAACCCCATCGTGTCCCCTGCTGGGCTCACTCCCAAGTCTGAAGATGGTTCTCCGAGTTCGGCTCACACTGTTCGCTCACCCACTTCTCCGTTGTAACAAGTTTCTGGAGATCAAGGCCTAGTCTGAAAAATCTAAGATATGGTCAAACTGCTGTCCATCGCTGTTCATTGATACTGTTTATAAAATAAAACTCATGAATAGTAAAGTTTAATAGCATGCAAGAACATTAAAGTGGGTAAATCATGTGATTTGAACGATTCTCTTGAGGCATCTCTGTGAAATTCCATGTTCATAACAACCTAACCTGTACTTATTTATGGAAAGGCCAGACCCAAAACAGCTTTTCTTCTGCACATTTTTTTTATATCTTCTGAATGTTGATTTTACAAATGTGTGCTTGAGCCTAAATGTGGGACAAAGACAGCAGAAATGTTTGAGCGTATGCCACTGTGTTGATTCAATTTGCAAATGGAGAATTTTTTAAAAAGTGGCTGAATGTTGTCTAGATGTAACAGAATATTGCCACGTTTGTCTCTCTCAAAGCAGCACTTGTCCTGAAAAAACTATTACTCTGTACTTTAGAGCCCTCTGGTGGTTAGATTACATATTGTTGGGAGAATTACTAGAAATTATTTTCTAAAGGAAACGTTAGTAGGTTCTATAACATAACATTTCAATCTGATTCACATCTTTCATTAACAGTGTGACTCCTTGATTGCCTTGTTTTGGGGCGACACTTATTTGTCGTGTAGTCAGTCATTTGAAAGAAACATTAATGTGTGATGAGCCTTTTTCAAAGTAGGGACGTTTTGAGCTTTTTCTATGGTGTGTTTTGCTGTAATGCTGGGGTGCAGATGAATGTTGGTGCTGAGCAGTCAATGACATTTCTATTGAAGGTATTGCTTTGGCACAAAATAACTAGCCCCATTAAAAAAAAATGGGGAGACCACGGAGAATGTCCCCAGACAGAGCAATTGCTGTAACATTGATTATGTTCACATGTAAAAATTCAACAGTTCTTCCTGTCAAACTTACTTTAAGCTTAAGCAATGATTTCATTCATCAAAAAACTCCCATCATCTCTGTGTGATGTTCTTTTGACCGAAGCAGTACCTGTGCTGGCTTCTGTTTGTTGAACATTTGAGCGTGTTTTAGTTTTGGGGATGGGGAATGTCACCAAGAGCTGCATTTTTCTGTCTATTTTTTTGTGTGTTCTTGAGGTGCTATATAAAAAATGGTTGAAGTGTGAATGTTTAAGTCATAAGAAATGTAAGTTCGTGTTTATTTTTCTGTAAAAACAGCTTTTATATTTAGTTTTTAAAGGAAAGAAAAACACCTGGATGGTCAGTTCCTAATATTGGGAAATGTTTCCTCATCTGGAAAACACGTATTGGGCCTATTAAAACAGAGACTGAAAGTCATTTTATTAGGGTAAACTCTGCAAAGATGCTTAAAAATAACTGGAAATGAATCTGTTGGTTCAAAAATCCACTTTCATAACTATTTTTCCCCTGGAAAAACAAGTAAGTCTATTCCTAAGCAGCAGAGGGCAGTATATCCAAGCATAAGCATCCCAGACTATTATAGAACATTGCTTTGATTAAATAAATTGACTCTGGTACATTTTTTTATTTTAATAAAAAATAATTAAAATTTGATGCAATTACAATCTTAAATCCCAAAAAAGCTGCAGCACAACTTAAGTTAAATTTAGAGTCAAAATGATCCCACAAGAAAGCAAAGTAAATCCAAAGCCTTCAGTTTCCTGGCATGCCAAATTAGTGCTTTTGGTTGGTTTGTCATGTAGCACCCATCTTTAAAATAAAGAAAAATTTGCATATTTTTGTCTAAAGAGTGACAGACGAACAGCTCGTAGCGATCCTTTGATTTGATAGCTTTGGTAATTTTACCAAAAATAAAGTACTTTTCATCTTCGTTCATCAATAATGAACGATCTATGCTACAGAAACGAAAACCTTCCTTAGACTTTTTCAGCAACAAAGTGATATTGCTTACATGAATACACAGGTCACAGGGTTTGAAATCAATGGAATAATTACTCATTCTTAGTTTAAGAGTTTGAATTTTAACATAAATATGAATTTTCTCACATATCAAAAACATTTATCACAAAGAACTAAGCTCACATTAAGTCTGACTTAACAGATGTGGACGTATTTTTTCACAAACATTTAAACATTCTATAGATGCAGACACTGACTTTGTTCGTGTAACTAACCAACAAACATCTAAATGTGATTAGGACAATTTCAACATTTATTTATTGTTTTATCCTTTTCAGCCTATACAATAAATAAAAACAACACCATCTATAATTACAAATCAACTTATGTTCTACAAAGTGTTTGAAACATATCAAACAAATTTTATGTATATTCTCAACAGAACATTGTTTATTTTTTCACAGTTTGAAAGGAAAACATTCTGAATGTTTTTGTCACCTTTTTTCTTTATTCTAAGCAAAAGTTCCACCTAGCAGTCTCCCTGCTGATTTCTGCTGCCCAACTTGGTCATGGGTTGGTATCTTCTGAATCACTTCAGTATCTGTTGTGATGCTCGTAGTGCCATCGGTTGAAATCGATATTAAATGCCACAATGCTGCCTGATGCCATTCCTGTGATTAAAGTCCTGAACAACAATAAAAAGCAAGAATACAAACATATGAAGTCATGTTGGAAAACACATTTTTAAGTGAAAAGATTGTTTTAGTACGTGTTCAGAAATAGAGAATTCAGGAGGTCAGAAGTACATTTGTGTGTCTTTCTGCATGTTTATTGTCTTGTACTGCTACATACAGCTCAAAGGCTTAAATGCTTAAGCACAAAGAACAGAGCAACTGGAAATGGCCCTCTGTAAATGCAAAGACTTGAACTCAGCCCAATTGTGCTAACCTAATGTCAACTTACTAAAGCAAAAGGTTGCAATCTGAGTCGGGGTTCCTAAAATATTTAAGACATTTTTTAAAGCAGCTTGTCATTGGTAAAAGAAACACAGAATAGCAAACAATGCTGTCTTCTTGGATTGTGCAGTTATGGTGAGTAAAGCCTCGTTAACAAAATTTGGTACAGAGGTGGTCCAGTTTCCGTACGGTTACCAGACAGACTGCAAATCTCACCGACTGTGGTTCACGCACTGAACATCTCTGGATATCTGCTCCCACAAGAGCATCAAATGATTAGAAATTTGACAAAAATACTTCTAATACCTGTAAAAGTTATGTGAACTCCATCCATCCATTTTCAGCCTCTTATCTGGAGTCAGATTACGGGGGCAACAGCCTAAGCCAGGACACCCAGACTTCCCTCTCCCCAGCTACTTGAGCCAGCTCTTCCAGGGAATCCTAAGGCTTTCCCTGGCCAGCCGAGAAACATAAGCTCTCCAGCGTGTCCTGGATCTTCCCTTGGGTCTCCTCCCAGTTGGATGTGCCCTGAAAACCTGACCAGATGCCCGAGCTTCTCACCCTCTCTCTAAGGGAGAGCCCAGCAACTCTGCGGAGAAAACTCATTCCGGCCGCTTCTATCCGCAGTCTCGTTCTTTCAGTCACTACCCAAAACAGGTGAGGCTAGGAACGTAGATCGACCGGTAAACGGAGAGCTTTGCCTTCCGGTTCAGCTCTCCACCACGACAGATCGGTACAATGCCCGCATCACTGCAGACGCAGCACCAATCCACCTATCGATCTCATGCTTCATCTTTCCGTCAAACAGGACTCGAGATACTTAAACTCCTCCACTTAAGGCAGGACCTCATTCCCGACCTGGAGAAGGCATTCTACCCTTTTCCAACTTAAGACCATGGTCTCAGATTTAGAGGAGCTGATTCTCATTCCAGCCACTTCACACTCGGCTGCTAACAGCTCCAGCAAAAGCTGGAGATCACTGTCCGATGAAGCCAGCAGGACCACATCATCTGCAAAAAGCAGAGACCTGATCCTTAGGCCACCAAAACATATCCCCTCAACACCTTGGCTGTGCCTAGAAATCCTGTCCATGAAAGTTATGAACAGAATCTGTGATAGCCAAGCTCTGACACTGGCCATACAGGGACCTAACAGCCTGTATCAAAGGGCCTGGTACCCCATACTCCCAGAGTACCCCCCACAGGGCACCCCCGGGGGATACATGTAGATTGGTTGTGCAAACTGCCACACACCCTCCAAAATCCCCTTAAGGGTATAGAGCTAGTCCAGTATTCCACGGCCAGGATGAAAACCACATTGTTCCTCCTGAATCCGAGGTTGGACAATCCTACAGACTAGGGCTGCAGCTATCGAATATTTTTGTAATCGAGTACTCTATCGAATCTTTTTTTCGATTAATCGAGTACTCTAATAAATTACCCTTTTGTGTTTGTAAACCTTTATATCATACATTGATGAGCCAAGATGGCGTCGAGTATGGCTGCCTCGTCGCGAGCTCCACCAAGTTCCAACATTACACACTCCATACTGTACATTAATGCCACTGTTTTGCACATACCAACCTCTGTACATTTTATATCTCTTATCTTATTGTTTACTTTATTCATTTGTATACTTAGATTAGCCATTTTTATATTTTACTTGTTTTTACATTACTGTATTTTTGCACAACTCTGTTGCTGTGAAGTTCGCACACAAGAATTTCACTCGCATGTACTGTACCAGTGTACCTGCACATGTGACGTGACAATAAAAGTGATTTGATTTGATATCCAATAGCATGTTATAATTATGAAAGACCTCTTAAAATGAGCAAGCAATTGCCAGTTATTCAAGTTTTATTCAAAATTAGTTTGCATAACTTCAGCACTTCAACTTTACTTCACAGTAAACAAATGCCTGTGCAAAAAATAAGTAAACCTGAGCCGATTTTCCCCTCGTGTGAGAATCTGCTAGCCTGCAAGCCAGACAAAAACTAGGAGGATAACGCTGCGAGCGGCTGCGGCCCAAACAGAACCAGAACCGCTCACGGCGCAAACAGCTCGCCGGCTGTTTCCCTATTAACACACGTCCGTTTTAATTTCCACACTTTTTTCTCACTCTAACAAGGATTGCCAAAAGCATGTTTGCTGTGGTTTTGTCAAATTATACTGATCACAAAACATGTATTTACTTTCTTTCGTTTTCCTCCGCCACTCATAAATACCCGTGTCCTCCTGCAGAAACCCCGAGGGACAACAGACATCAATAACACAATAAAAAGTCCGACGTGTTGTGTAAAACTGCTATTTTTTAGCACATTTTAAGTCCGACGTGTTGCTACCAGATGTAAGGTGTGAGCTGAAACTGAGCGCTACAAACGAAAAAGTCGCAGAGTCCGCAGAATATATAGAAAAACAGGCTAAAATGCATTATCTTGTAGAGGCTCCGAGTCCGCTTGCAGAAGTGACATTTACAGGTGCTGCAGCACGGATGATAGGGTGTTGTGCTAGGCTAAATCCATTTTACTGTATTTATACTGGACTACGTTTTCCGTCTTACGACGTGAAAAATGGTTCCACAACTTTGACATTTTCGGTCTTTTTCGCACTCCACCGGGGTTCAAGTTGTCCGCCATGGCTTAAGAGAAAGTTAAGTTATATTCGCTACTCGCGTGTGCATTCAGTCCAGTGGGCATGTGCGTCACTTATTTCGGTCCGGGTGAAACATGACCCCGGGCGATTGCAAAGCCATGAATTAATTAAATATGAATTAAACGAATCCTCGAGGCAGAGAATTTGACTCGAGGATTTTTTTGTACTCGAATTATTCGAGGTACTCGAGGAATCGTTTCAGCTCTACTACAGACCCTCCTCTCCAGAACCCCAGAATAGACCTTACCAGGGAGGCTCAGAAGTGTGATCCCTCTGTAGTTGGAACACACTCTGCAATCCCACTTTTTAAATAATAAAACAAAAGTCGGTGAGAGTTGGACTCTGTCAAGGCAGCTCTTTGTCAGATTCTGTTCATAACTTTTATAGACAGGATTTCTAGGTGCAGCCAAGGTGTTGAGGAGCTCTGTTTTGGTGGCCTAAGGACAGTCTCTGCTTTTTGCAGATGATGTGGTCCTCTTGACTTTATCAGAATGTGCCCTCAGTGAAGCAGCGGGGATAAGAATGATTGGACTCAGTGATTTTTGATCTATGCAGAAGACGTACGGATACAGGACCGCATCTGTCCCACACTCCGTGTGTAAGAGGCATCAGAGTTAATTTTATATGGAGCTGTAATAGCAGAGGGATCTTAAGCCCTGTAGCTGTGGAGGACAAGATGGATCTTTAGGTTCATAGTCCTTGACATCTCTGAAACACCGGAAGCAAACTGAGAAAAACCATTGGCTGACATTCAAACAGTCTGAATATGTCCTTACTGTTTATTTAAATTTACACAAGTTCTTTTTGTCAACTGTAAACTGCATAAAATTAAAAATTGAATTTTAAATGAACTCTGGCAGATCTTTTGTCAAATTACCCTTACTCACATCTAGCAGATGCCAATGATGGCAGAAAGCGTTGCCTCCACAAAACGACATCATGCTTTAGCCTAATTTACCATTACTATGACAGAACTGAATGATCTTACCTTTGATCATGTGATAGGTCCATGGCTCGGATGCCTGCATCACATCCTGGGTACATGTAGAGCTTTCTGAAATCACATGCCTGCCATACCTCCACAATGCCGTTATCTCCACCTGTCACCAGGTTGTGTCCATCACTGCTCAGGAGAATTGCCTTAAGGAGGTATAAAGAAAAAAGTTCAACATCCAGACAACTGGTATCCTGTAGCGGAATGAAAAATGTGCTATTAAAAAAGCCAGTTTTCATACATTTGGCTTCTTTTTTCTAGACTGCTGACCAACATTTACCATTTCAAAGTAGTGACTAACATCCAGGGTCTACAAACAAATATTGTATCACAGATTTTTGGTATTTCTATCTCAACTAGTTTCACAAAAGATTTGGGTAATATAACACTGCACCAGGCACATTGTTTTGTTTATTAATAGCATTACTATCCCATTTAGGCAGCAGTAGCTCAGGTGGTAGAGCGGGTTGCATCATGATCGGAGGGTCATGGGTTCGATTCCAGCTCCCGCCAGGGGTATTCTGCTGTTGTGTCCTTGGGCAAGACACTTCACCCAACTTGCCTGTGTTAGAGGTGGTCAGAGGGGCCGACGGCGCCAAATGGCAGCCTCGACCCTGTCAGACCTCCCCAGGGCGGCTGTGGCTACAAATAGCTTACCATCACTAGCAGTGTGTGATTGTGAGAGTGTGTGAAAGCGTCTTTGGGTGTCTAGAAAAGCGCTATATAAGTTCAATGCATTATTATTATTATTTGAGATTAAGATGACATGCAGATTTCAAGTCTTACTGTATGAGATTTAAGTAGCTTCATGTATTCCTGTTTTATTGAGTCAAGTATTTTTTACCCGAGTGGAGTCATTCACATCCATTTGTGCAAGCGGTTTTCCATTAATGCTGAAGTTGCAGAAGCCGCCCCTCTCATAGTAGATGATGCAGTGGCCCTCGCTAGTCACTGTGATGAGCCGTGGACACTGATAGTTTTCCGGTCCCTCTAGAGCTCGCAGCAAATCCCCTGTGATGGTGTGAACCAGACATGGACCCTCTGCCAAACCAAAACACATAACACACTTGGGTTCTGACATTTTCTTTGTGGAAAAAAGGTAAAGAGTTTTGTAACCTGAAAATGGCAAGTAGTGTGTTTGCATGGGGTCAGATAATGTAATGTAACGTGTTCTGTGTTTGCCAATGCTCTAGTTGAAATCACGAGTGTTTCTGATGCTCCCCTTTTCATGATGACAGCTACATGAATACGCAAAGAAGCTTACTGACCTTTGGCTCCACTGATGACTAGACCCAGCTCTGCACAGACTGACACGCACACAACTTCCTGGTCGTGACCAGTCAGAACTGCTCGTGGTGCTGGATAGTCACCTAAAAGATGGGGCCAAAGCAGGTTATAGTGAAACCACCAAACAATTCTTCACGAGTGAAAATAACTAAAATAAAGCCAAAGTGTGTGGCATGGCTGCATGGTGGCGCAGTGGTTAACACTGTTGCCTCGCAGCACGAAGGTTGCAGGTTCGAAACTAGGCTGCGGCCTTTCTGCGTGGAGTTGCGTGTTCTCCCCATGCATGCGTGGGTTTCCTCCGGGTACTCCGGTTTCCCCCACAGATCATAACATGCCCTATAGGTTATAAATTGTAAGTCGCTTTGGATAAAAGCGTCTGCTAAACAAATAAACACACATTTCTACATCTCCTGGTCCTTTTGAATTGTTATGTAAATGTATGGATGCTACGAAGGCTGCCAAGCCATTTGCTTTCCTCCTATGTACCACTTGATTGATGACAGTCGGGGGAGAGGTTAGTGAGGGGTGTTTTAGGGCACCTGGAGCCACTGACCCAGAGTATTTGCTACTATGAGGAAAGCCTCAGCATCTGTGAAATACTCTAATCACAAACTCTCATGTTTTCCTTAGAGATTGATTTGACTGTCTCTTTTTTTAATGATTTCCCTTTTTAAAAGTAGATATGGGAATTGGCACTAAATTAGAACAAGGAGGACATTTCTATACAATAATAAATAAAAGGTGATTCTTTCCAATGATTCCTTAGCATTTTTGTCTTATGTTGTAATTATTAACTTTGCAACTGTTGAACACTGGAAACTTTTGTCAGAATTCTACTTTTGATTATGTTGATTGTTGGTGTCCACATATGACATTATTATAGAATCCCCCTGAAACACAACATGGACATGTTGGGCCACACCACCTTCATCATCCCCTCTCTTGGTATGCCACCTCCACAGCTCCAGCTGTCCGGTCAGAATGCTGGACTGTGATCGATGCATCATAGTCCCTTAGAGACCCGGACCTGAGCAGCCCTGTCAGTCCCAGCGCCAGTTGCTGAGAAGGGACTGAATAGGACAAGTGTCAAAAAAAGCCTCCAGGGAATAGAAGCGAGCTCACCTGCCCAACAAAAGATTCAATCACCTTGTATCGAATACTGTCGTGCTGTGATGGCCCTTGGGAACAAGTGCATTGGGCCACTGCAATTAACCTAGAGCAAATATCCCCTCACGTCAGTGCAGCAGGCCGAGTCTAAAAAGCCAGGCCATGATTGAACTGGAAGTTATTTTAATTATTACATGTTTAAAATGTATACAGCCTTTTGGGGTGAGGGTGAAATCAATTTCATGGCCGTGCCACACCTGCAAGATGAGGGACTATTGGTCCATTACAGCTCTGCTACATATTCACACAACCTTTAACAGGCATTATAGAAACTTTAATAGGCATGAAATTAGGGTATTAAATTTAGGCCGGCCATTGTGATCGTATGAAAAGTTGGTTGTGATTCATGGTTAAGGGCAAATAACTGCTGCCTTAAACCAGTTTATTCCATCTGCATTGTTTATATGTATTTATATTGATTTGCAATTCATGTATGTTGTTCCCTCAGTTTTCCTTTTGTCCGCTGAAGATGCAGTGTAAGAAGAAGAGTGAGTATCAGGGGAATACCGTTTTCCTGTCACAGTAACCCAAGCTCTGTTGCCCCTTGCTAATTGGAGGCATCCAAGCTGAAACTCTTAATTAACTGTCAAACCCTCGGTGAAGTTAATTAGGACACTTGCAACTAATCTGAAGTTCTTAAAATCTTTGACAGTCAGAAGCACAAGTGTGCATACACTATCTTACCCTGCAAAACAGTGAAAACACATTCGTCACTTAATTTTTTTTTTCTAATCCACACCACAGTCCGAACTGAAGAAGACTGAGAAGTCTGCAAGTTCTTCAAAGTTGCATTTTAACTCATAGCATTGTACTATTTCTTCCTGACATGTTTCTTTTTCTTTAAAATGACCAAGAAGAGGAGTGTCTGTGATCATTCATGGCTGAAAATGAGAGTGGAAAGCAGGTTTATGCATACGTGTAAACTTTCGTGAAATAAATTTTAAAAGAAAAACAAGAATACTGCATAGAAAATGATGCACTCATTTCTATTGTTGTGAATAGTCACAGCTATAGACATTAAACTAGTTTTATGTCTCCAGAGTCCTTTCCTTGAAAGCAGCACTGCTCCGCACCATTAATCAAACTAATATACTACAGCTATGGTGCAGATAATTGGTCCTATCATGCCATATTACTTGAATTGTGGGATAGCTTTTTTCCCGTGCTAATCAAAAAACTCCTGCCCATCTTTTAGAATATAGAAACCCATGCATCTGTATAGGCTTCTGCTTCAAAACAACGAACATACTTTGTGTAAATACTAGAAAAAGTTCTTAACCTAGAGGAAGATGTAGGTCTGCGTTTGTGTGATCATGTGTCACCTGCATGTTCCAACTCACCGGTGTTGGGGTTGTCACCAATAATATGATGCCGTCCACTCCAGTACCACAGGAGCAGAGTAGCATCTCTAGACCCAGAAACGATGTAACAATCTCCACCAATGTAGGACTCCGATCTGGCCAGACATGTCACCACATCCCAGTGGCCAAAAACAATCTGGGTCAGCTTGCCTTTGGAGAAAACAGAGTGTGCATGACTAGTTGTTATGGACACATTTATGTTTATTAATTCTTGATCATGGACTCAATCAACTTAATGTAAATTATTGCTCTATGCCTCTCTGCATGCTCACTTATTCAGAGACACCCACACAAGACACACACATTCTTGACTTCCCACACACAGACACACACACTCTCTCTCCACTCCCATCTCTCTATAAATAAAGTCTATGAACAGATGCACGAGGCACTTTGCCTCGTGCATCTTGCCACAGTTATAACTGTTTGACTTGTTATTCATTGTCTCAGTCATCCAGGTCATAGTAATCCAAAGGGTTCAAATGAAGGCAACTGGACTTCTTTAGTTTCTTGAAGACGTTTCGCTTCTCATCCGAGGAGCTTTGTCAAGCTAATTCCAGTTAGAATTGGCAAAGCTCCTCAGATGAGAAGCGAATCGTCTTCAAGAAACCAAAGAAGTCCAGTTACCTTTATTTGAACCCTTTGGAACAACTTGAAATGGTCTTGACCAACTCTTTGACAATTAACAATATATCTGAAGTAGGGGTCGGCTGATATATTGGACCAACATACTTTAGAAAAGCAGATTTAAAGTCGAGCACAACCCTGAGCAACCAGTTGCAGAATTCAACTTAAATATATATTTACGTACGTTCCTGAATAACATCTGCAAAATAAATGCTCTAAATTCTATTTTCAACAAGCATTTATTTTTATTTAACAGTTCTGATTATTTAAATTTTGATTTGTTTGAATAATGCCGTGCACAAAATTAGGATTTAACAGTCGATTAAGTTCAGTGTTCAAACCTGACTCAGCTTCAAAAGTTTTGTGCACCATCTCATCTTGACATATTAGCATGTAAAAAAGGTGGAACTATTCAAGATATTGGCCAAGAAAATCGGACCAGAAAATCTGCAGCACTTGTGAGCCATCGGTTGACCATGACCTCTACATATCGGTATCGGCAATAGAAAAACCAATATCGATCTCCCTTTAATCCGAGCAGCATCTCACGCTCAAAGCAGCAAAGGGAGAACTTCAGCGCGTCCAGTATATTCATCTATTTTCCGACACAGTGTGTCAGGAGAATGTTGCACCACTGTATCATTACTGTCATTGTACTCAGTCCTCCACACATCGGTGCACACCTCTGTAGGAAATGGAGTTTTACACTATAACCTACCTGTCTCAGAGGAGTACACACGGAAGCTCTTGTCCCAGAAGCCACACACTAGGATGTAGCGGTTGTCAGCTGTCACCACAAAACAGTGTGTGGTGATTTGGATGCTTTGGTCCACTAGGTCTGTGATCTGACGCTTGTTGCTGCCGGTGTTGTTGGCTGAGAGGAAAAGAAGTTTGGTACAAAGAATTTTCAAGTTATTCATCGCAGCTTCTGCTGCTGAAGCAACGTGTATGTGTGTGTTTTTTTACAAAGACGTACGTTCCTGTAATGCTTACTCACCAACCAGAGAATCCATCTCTATCGGGAGGTGATGTGCCTGTTCCAGAGAATAGCCTGGTGCTCCTCGGAGACCTAGATTCAGGTACACAGACACACATACATGAGTCTTTCATCACCACTGCACATTCACTCCCATTTCAGAGCCATATTCATTCATAATCATTTCCATAAGATGCAGGGGTTGGAGGTTCATCTGTTCTCCCAGGATTCTTTTTTCCTCTGTCAATCTTCATGGAGTCGTTTAACCATGTGAACCAGTTTCTTGAGCGAACTTTGATTCAGAAACAGCCTGAAGAAATGGAAGTGTTATCACTCTTATTTTGAAGAATAAAACCCCATTTCCTTCCTGTCTGGCAGGATGGCGAGGCTGCTGCAGCCTTGTTCATTAAGAGCAGCCACACAGTGTGCACTCTTTGGTCCTGAGCTCCATGTATATCCAAGGGGACAGATGGGGATGTGAGAGGAGAATGTGGGGCAGTCGTGGCCTAATTGCCTAGTAACCACTGCCTTGGCCCACTGACCCTGAGGTGAGGCTGATTTTGGGGTGGGGTGGTGGGCTTTGTGGGTAATGTTGTTCACACATGTCTGCAAAGAAACATGTGGAAATACTCATGCTCAGCTTACCTGGGAGGTGTTAGCAGCTTTCATAGATGCCATGCAACAACTATTGCGAGCAGCGGGCAGGTTTTTGTGCTATGTGTGATGGAGTGATTTTGCAGGGCCGCCGCTGCTGTGGCAGGTATCACATGTGGTGAGACACTATATATTTTTTCCAGCACGTGTGTGTTATTTAACCTATCACACCTGCTACGTGCGTTTGGCTCCACTCACCAACAGTGTTGTGCCATCGATTGACAGCAAATAGCCGGTTGCATGTGACGGTAACCACAGCCGGCACTGTCAGATGGGGTAGGGTGTTGGCAGCCACGTGGGTTACAGGCGAATTGGATGGAAACTTCAACACCATAATGACATCCTGCTGCATCTGGTCCTTGAACATGAGCGGACTCTGCGGAAGGAAACACTGTTGAATAGAAAAGAAAAAAGACGAAATTTGTGGAAAAAGATGGAGGGGCATGGTGGTGGGAAATGAGTTTAAATTGAAAAACAGGACAGGAGGGCATGGGGAAGATGAAAAGAAGCGGTAAGAGAAAAAGAATGCAAGTAGAATTAATGTGGAGGTTGGAGGAAACACCGGACTCAGAGGAGAACCTTGGACAGTTCTCAGATGAGGGATTAAGACAAGTGGAGAAGAAAACTAGGATGAAGACATTTTATATGAGGTGATTCACAGAGAAAATACCTAACTTGACACATTAAAAAATAACCAGACAGAAATTTGATGAGTTTAAATAAGTCCCTCCTTTGATCTTTTCTATGTGAAACCGTCTCAATCTTTAGCGTTCTTAGTTAAGTGTTGCGCATATACATGTGATGTTTGAATGAATCCTTCATATTACTAGATATACATGTAATTAAAAAAAACATGCTTGACGTTTGTATTTGTAACAGGAAAATAAACTAAGTTTAGTATTTTCTTTTATTTGTACGATTAGAAATGGGATAACACGTTTCCCTGTGGATAACTGGGAAAATGCTGATAATTACATGGATTAGGCAGAGAGGGGGCATTGGACCAGTAGGGAGCACTGTTCCCTTTAAACTTTTTTATTAGCAGACTGAAACAGAGCAGGCTACTGGTACTCACAACTGTTCGATCTACTGAGAGCTGATGACCTACATGAGGTAAAACCTATAAAATATTTCACTTTTTCTAAAAAAGAAAGATATTAAAATATTTAATCACTTTCATTTATCAAGGAGTTGTGAGTATCTTTCCTCAAACATAAACACACCGCATCCAAAGGTGCAGAGAATGTTCCCAGCATGCTCGCTGTTCTCACCAGGTGCATGGCGGAGCTGCGTGGAGGATGTGGCTCGATAAGCAACTGAGATGGCGTCTGTCCAAAGCTCTGGATCTGCGCCTCTGTGGCCTGCGGGGTAGAGAGAAAGAGGGAGAGAGCGGCTGTCACAATCAATATGCATCAAAGTGATGGGTCAATGCGTTACTTGACAATGCAAGCAAATCCTAACTCAGCCATGCCTCTGAGGAAGGGGGGGGAGGTGAAGGGAAAGGGGTGCTCCCCCTTCCCCCCTCTGCCTGCAGAGTCATCCAAGTGTTAGTATGGAAGAGACAAGCCTTTTCCTATTAACATGCTTCAGTTAACCATTCCTATTTCCAGGAGCCGGGGCCCCAACTGCACAAATGTTAACCTGGAGTGACATCCAGCTAGAGCTGCAGCAGGCCAGCATGCTTTCAGATGTTATTGTGCTTGAAACAAAAGGGGGAAAGCTCATGTACACACACAAACGCACAACACCACACAAGAAATACATGACGAGTTCTTTAAAGGTACAGGGCTACAATGAAGGATGATTTATGGGCTTGAAACCACGACTCTAGAAGCTTGTGAGTAACGGGGGGGATAAAAACAGCCACATAATGAGCAGCAGGAGAAAAACAACACCAGAAAAATCAAACCAGTTTTATTTTTAGACAAAAAAATAAATAAACAGACAAAAAATCCTTTGCTTGTTATGAGTGAAAAAAAAAACAACCAGTAAGAGCTGCTGAGCCTGACTGAAAGCGGGGCACTCCACGGTGAGAGTGATTGATGTGACTGGAGCTACTTCCACCATCAGAGGAGCTTGTAGACGTCCGTCAATGCCATTGTGCACAATGGAACATACATCGCTCAACCTTTCTTCTGCCCTTCTGACTGCCTGGGAGACTGGCCCTCATTTTCCTTTGCTTGTACACACCACTCAATATCAAAAGGCCCCATTGGGTAGCACATGCCACAGCGGGACATGCGGAACTGGAGTTTGGGAGGTGATACAGAGTTAGGACAGGCTACCTGCAAGGCACACAGTTACCCCAAACATTGCCAGGTCACTTCCTGTCTTCCACAGCCCCCAAAAAGGCCTTGTAGACAAGGGTTGCTGCATTAAGTGGTGTTTCAAGTGAGATGGTGAGCACATTTGACAACCATTATGAGTTGGCCAGTATTTCTTTAGAACAGTCTGTCAGATTAGAAACAATTGACATCATGGCTATTTAAGGGGTCGCAATGTCTGTTCGAATAGTGAAAGTTGATACAATGACCAGAGAAGTGGAGCGGGCCATGTGGAAAATATGTCATTTGTAATAGTTCCATTACCAAAGAAACCGGACTGCTCGATGACTCGTTTGTAGTAGACGATACAAATTCCAGAGAGGACAGCAGCCACTCCTCCCTATATTCATTTGCATTTTTTAGGTGTGTGTTGTAGAAGAGGATTTAACTTGTTCACGTTTTTCAACATGATCTAAACACATCCACATCTCTCAGGTGCTTAAACACTAATCCCCAACGATGCATGTCAAAATCGTAAATCTATCAAGACCTGAAATGATGCCTACTTAACAGGTTTTTTCATTAGTTTAAGTCATCTCAGGCTTTGCTTTCAGGCTAATATATGACACTCACTGCTAAAGCTGTTTGGATAATCTCTCCTCCTAGCAAAACCCACTTTGCTTGGGTGAACATAAAAATCCTCTAAGGCTGCATCTGCCTGCCTGTGTGATTTCAGTTTTGGCAGAACCAGAAAGATTCTGAGGTGAGAGGCTGCAGCTTTTACTCGATCCACAGTGTGATTCCTAAACTTTTGACATGGAATTTAATGCACGATGATCCCCTTTCACTAGCCTTCAGTGCATTTATGCAATGCACCAACCTAACAGTTCTGTCACACAGATGGCAGTCATGGTCTTGTGTGGACCCAGTCAACAGCGAGGGGCCATGCTGAATCACAACATCTGGGATCAATGAGCTACAAATATAAAGCTACTCTTTCAACCTTTGGAAAAAGTCAAATATTAAGACGGAAAATTGTTTTCTGATTGGATTTTTGTTTGTCAATTTTCTTATTGGTCAACGAAACTGCCAATCAAAATTAGTCATAACTTAGTCTTTACTGGCATGTACTTTATAGTTTTCATTTCGTTTTAGCCCGCACGAAAAAAACAAAACAAACAAAAATATGTCCATTCTTTCCATGCCATCATTTTCTTTGTTTGTTTCCAAGATGGATTTCTAATCCTCAGGTAAGAAAAAAGAAAGAAATGCCCTGAAGGAATCTCGTATGTGACAGCTTTAGAGGTGACATGTGTGAGTGTGGGAGCAAAAGTCTCCCAAACATGTCTGCCGGTAAGTGCCTTCCTCTGATGCTACTTTTATCATGCATAATGCAAATTAAAATCTATATGAATTGTGAAACTGAGACAGTGATGTCAAGCGTTTGAACGTTTGTGTTCCATCACCATTAGAACATCAAGGTGAAATCAATTTAAAGTCTGTCATGAAGCTAGCTGCAGCACACTTTGCTGTCTTTGTTGATTTAGAGGTGGCAGGAGGGGCAGCGGCGGGAGGAGCAATAGAGTCGCACTGATGAATAATTTGTCTGTTTACCTCTGAGTGACACAGTAGGGTCTGAATCAAGGGGTTGCTGTCATGTTTTTCCATAAGAAAAGAGTGTCAGGAGAGGCATCACGGTGAAGGACTGCTGTTCCGGCAGTGTGCCCAGTAGAGCTGTCACTTCTTCCTCAACCACAGACCAGAGGGCCTGGCAGCGTGTCAGAAGATGTCATCATTTTCATCTGACACGCACAGGGAAATTATCTCTCATGACCTCTAATTTCTTGACATTTCAAATGTCTTAATTGTTGTGACTAATGCCAGGTCTGCAGATTCACCTGTCAGGCCCAGAATGAATCAATACCCAGGAGTCAATCATCACTTTTCAGCTGATCTTTGTGTGACAGTCACTGGGCAAATTTCCACACTCTACCTCACAGACTCATCCAAGCAAGTCACGAAACTGGGCTGCGTGGGACCGGAGGAGCAGTTAGGCAGTAAATGCAGAACAGATTCAGCAATTTTCAACTTTCTTTAAAGGTGCGACTCACTGCAGAGGAAACGGACTAATTCTGGTAAAAGAAATAAAAATGCCAAGTTAAATATACTTTTACAACTTGTGTACACGTGATTAAAGTTTAAAAATACTTATAATAAATTTAAGTAGATACCGTAAATCCTCTAATACAGGCCGGTATTCAATTAAAGGCCGGGTCTCCAATTTTGGCCGGTGTTGGAGTCAGCAGAGGTAAATAATGGCCGGTCTCTTATTGTGGCCGGGTGGAATGTGGTAACAGGCAAGTTTGAGCGTCTCAGCGGCAGGATTATAGTCCCCAAATCAACCAGCAGGTGGCAATAGAGGTTCACACAGACCTTTATTAGGCTTTTTCTTCAACGCTTTGTAACGCTACAGACACTATCCTCTATCACTCTCCTACACACAGAGTCATGTTGTCAGTTAACCATGCTAATTCAACCCGCTCCACAGAACACACATCACCTTCCCTGTGGCTTACATAACACTCACACAACACGCAAATCAACACATAGGAACTAGCAGAACGATAGGAAACGGCAACACGCTGTGCCAGACCGTAGGTACTGACACGCGATCGTTCATGTCGGTTCATTTCCTTTAATGTTTTCTGTCTTTTATTTGCGCCTGATGTGTTTCGCTGCTGTGGAGCGGGGCGCTTCACCTTGTCCTCCGACGCACAGATCACTGATGCGGCCGCCAAACAGCGAGCGCTCCGCTGTTTTCGCGGTCGGTAGATCTGCGTCCTGAGCACGGCCACAGTAACAATCAGGTGTCGCCACCTCAAAAACTATTTTAACACGCGATCGTTCATGTCAGTTCATTTCCTTTAATGTTTTCTGTCTTTTATTTGCGCCTGATGCGTTTCGCTGCTGTGGAGCGGGGCGCTGCGCGCATCACCTTGTCCTCCGACACACTGATCACTGATACGGCCGCCAAACAGCGCGCGCTCCGCTGTTTTTGCGGTCGGTAGATCTTTTAGAACTGCAGTTCAAAGGTAACTCATGAGGTGAATATATATGAACCCAGGTAGCAGTTTTTCTTTAGGATTGAGAGGAGATGCAGGAAGATAATAAACAGACAGGACAGAAAAATAGTCAAATAAAAACAAGTTAGTTTTTGTACCTGGTGGTTGCAACAAACAGACACCACTGAAGGTAATCAGAAGTGAGGAACAGAAAATGAAATAATTATTTTAATGTTTAGAGCAGCAGGAACTCCGAAAGGCTGCAGGCGCATCAGTGAGTTTGCCAGGGGGAGGGGGGAGAGGGCTGAAGCAGGGGGAGGGGGGAGAGGGCAGAAGCAGAAACTACCGTTGTTAAAAGAAATGTGTTTAACTTTGAAAATGTGGGCGTAATTTTAATTGTCAAAAACTCCAGCGAACCATTAGTTCATTTTGCTCAAATAGAAATAGAGGCCTGCCTCTAATTCTGGTCCTCCTTCCAATAAAGGCCTGGAGCTTGATGAGCTTGAGTCAAATACAGGCCCCGACCTCTATTTCTATTTGAGCAAAATGAACTAATGGTTCACTGGAGTTTTTGACAATTAAAATTGCGCCCACATTTTCAAAGTTAAACACATTTCTTTTAACAACGGTAGTTTCTGCTTCAGCCCTCTCCCCCCTCCCCCTGCGCAGCGGCCGCAAACTCACTGATGCGCCTGCAGCCTCTCGGAGTTCCTGCTGCTCTAAACATTAAAATAATTATTTCATTTTCTGTTCCTCACTTCTGATTACCTTCAGTGGTGTCTGTTTGTTGCAACCACCAGGTACAAAAACTAACTTGTTTTTATTTGACTATTTTTCTGTCCTGTCTGTTTATTATCTTCCTGCATCTCCTCTCAATCCTAAAGAAAAACTGCTACCTGGGTTCATATATATTCACCTCATGAGTTACCTTTGAACTGCATTTCTAAAAGATCTACCGACCGCAAAAACAGCGGAGTGCGCGCTGCTTGCCGGTCGCATCAGTGATCGGTGCGTCACCGAGAACAAAACAGGTGATGCGCCCCGCTCCACAGCAGCGAAACCCATCAGGCGCAAATAAAAGACAGAAAACATAAAAGGAAATGAGCCGACATGAACGATCGCATGTTAAATTAGTTTTTGAGGTGGCGACACCTGATTTGATAATGTTACTGTGGCCGTGCTCAGGATGCAGATGTCTGGAGCGCGTCAACGATCAGAGCTTTGCATGCGCAAGCTGGTTAAGGTTAGGATGGGGGTGAGGGGAAGGTTAAATTGCAAGAGGGTAAACGTCACAATTTGGTTAAATGTCCATTTTACGGCGGGTGTCAGTACCGATGCTCTGGCACAGCGCGTTGCCTCCCGACGTGCAGGAGCTTGTCACCTGCTGACAGCAGGCTGCTGTATTTTCCGAGGGCTGCATCTTGCCGGTCAGTATCACGTGACAGCGACTAGTCGATGACAGGCATAAAAAGTCACTATAGTGAAGTTGACTAGTTCATACAACCCCTGCTACTGCTCCCCAGTGTTCTGCAGCATAATCAGCACGTTCTCTTTGAACTTGATATCAAATTTTCGCCTCCTCTTCGTCTCCGCACGGTTAAAGTTACCCTCGCGGTCTATCACTGACAAATCAAAAGTGAGACGGATGACACCCCCCCACCCCCGTGGTACTTGCTTGTTACCACATTCCACCCGGCCACAATAAAATACCGGCCATTATTCACCTGCGCCGACTCCGACACTGGCCAAAATATGAAACCCGGCAGTTAATTGAATACAGGCCAATATTAGAGGATTTACGGTATTGTATTTTAGAAAATAGTGACCAATATTTAATCTAAATAATAGAATTAATGGTACAGACTTGTTGCATGCTGTGTTCACCATAGGCTAATACAGCACTAGCTTGAATTCTAACTTGACCTGTGTTGAGTCTGCCTGTACCATAGACATTAATACATATGCCCCACTGGGCACTGGAGAGCGTAATAGTGTCACTGCCATATTGGATGGGTCTCCTCACTCTCCAAAGTCAATGCAGAGTGAGCAACTATGCCCATTTTGTGCAACAATCAGTGTACTATTGAAAACAGATTACATGGGATTACTATTAACTTTTCTAGCCTATCTGATGGAATTTTATAATTTAATTAATTAAAAATTATTTTGTTTAATTATATTTATATTTGAACTGTCATAACGTGTATCTGATTTTATGAAAAAGCTTGATAAAAATGTGTTTTTTAGTTGGGTAAGCACCTTCAAAAGTAGAAATGAATGCACTGGGGGCAAATGTAGACCCATCTAAGATAGCAGCCGACCACTATGGCAGCTCCAGTCCACGGGGCATCTACATATATGTGTCTGTGGTCTGTACACTTCATGCTAACTGTGGAAGAGGAGGGAGAGGAACGAAAGGGAATTTATCTTTTGTGTATTGGAGCTAAGTGATTAGCGTGGTGTTCAACATTGCACTATAGTTTCAGCCTGCTGTATCTTTAGCATGGGTGGTAAAGTAGTGCCAATACTGCAGAGCTCTGTTGATTCCACTTTACGGACTACAGCTTTAAGGGGGCGGTGTGCTGGACGTCATAACAATCCGAGGCAGAGTTGCAGTTGGACCTACCTACCAAAGTCCCACTCACTCACTTTCCGGATTGAAGAAAGTTGGAGAAATTATGGTGTAAACAAAAACTTGCAAATATGTTGTTTTGGACCCAATTTTATTTTTATGTGCTCTGAGGAATTGGAAGAAATGTGAAATGTCTACATCATCTTCAGTTAAAACACATTTGTTTATGTTCAAACGCATAAAAACCCAGTTTATATCATCAATCACTTAAATATTTTGCAGTTTATATATTTTTTATACTGGCTCACTGACATTGTAAGTTTTATACGAAAAGTTTACGGTGAAAAGGTAACGGAACTGGTCAAATATCAATAATGCATCGTCTGTCAAGCCAATGCTTGTGTCTTATGAACATATAATTTACATTTTGTATTTGTTTTGCTTCTGTAAGTAGTAATTAATAATAATAATAATGTTAATGATAATAATAATAATAATAATAATAATAATAATAATAATAATAATAATAATAATAATAATAATAATAATAATAACAATAATAATATACATCTACAGTTGGTTGCATATCTCCAGCACAAACACATTTACAAAATAGGTACAATAAGTCAGTCTGAATGGCTGGCTTACTATTGTGCAACTAACTAACGGTCCTGTCATCTTTCACAAGATAGAAGCCAGTTGAAATCCCTTCAGTCTGAAGCCAAATAAACAATCCCTTGTCTGAAATATTCCTCATAACGATGAAAATGAAACCTTTCACAACATGCTTTGGTAATTGGATGAGCCAAATCTTCTGCAGGTGATTTGCATAGTGGTCACTTGATAAATAAAGGCGCCCCTGGAAGTGACAGTATATAAATGACTTGTTTTGCAGACAGCAGATGGTGAATATCACAGAGAGGAGCTCACACTGGAAAGTGCCATGATGCATGCCAGCTGCTGCAGTCTCTGCTCTCCTTTCTCCTTGCAATTATGCTATTCAGGGCTAGCACTATCAGGTTTGAAGTTATTCAGTTAATTAGCTGAAAACAAGAAGAGTCTCTCTTTTTGCATTGACTGAGTGACCTTTGATCAAAGACCCTTGCTTTACTGAGCTGATGAAGGAACAAGCAAATGAAAGATGCTAGTAAAATCTATAAATACTTTAGAATAATTGTTTTATGAGTGAGGTTAATAAGTACAAAAGCTAGAACGAACATGTTCAGACACTTCTGCCAGATTTTCTCACAAATACTATCTGGTGAACACACAATACAGAAGCTCAAGTAGCTGAACCACATGCCAAGACAAACAGACAGGAGTGTGTGTGTGTGTGTGTGTGTGTGTGTGTGTGTGTGTGTGTGTGTGAGTGTGTGAAAGAGAGAGAGAGAGAGAGAGAGAGAGAGCATGACGGTGAGCTTTACCTCTCTGAGCAGGAGGTCTGTAATACTGTCCAGGCTGACGGAGCCCTCATAAGTCAGGTGGTGGAACACGTTAAGGGTACGCACCGCCTCTGGGCCTCGCTGCTTGTAGCCAAAAATAAGGTCAATCCACTGATGCAGCTGACATGACACAAACTCGCTTTCCAGAGCCTGTCAGAAGAGCAAAGAGCAATTAGAGGTGAGCAGAACACAAAGTACCCAACACAACTAAACACCTACATTAGAGTACAAAGGTGATAAATCAGAATGTTGCATCACAACCAAATACCACATCACAAGCTCACAGAGTCACGGACGAGTAAGATATAAAATAAAACAATTCCACTGTTTATAATAAGGATGATTTTTTTATTGTATTGTGAAATCCTTGTTATCCACATCCAAATTCTCTGTATATATGCAGACATGAACTCATGAACTGGATTAGATTAGTTTGAGAAAATAACATTTGAAAATAGAGGTCATCCTTTGTGTCCCCTTCATTTGACATCCTTGGTCAAAATAAATGTAGAATAGCAAAAAACAAAGGAATTGAGATAAATTAGAAATCTATGGTGGCTGTCAGAGCTCTAACAGGAAATCTACAAGGCTGCATGTTTGTCCATTGATCCAAAATGGTTCCATTTTGAAGCATTTGTGCTCAGTGCACCCCGGTGAAATTCTCCAAATTTTCAGGCTTAAAGAGAGACTAGGCAGTTCTGGCTTGCTTTTAGCACCCCTAGCTTGAGTTTAATGAAATCAAAAGTGAAACTTGTCTCCTCGCTGTGTCTTTTTGTGGGGCAGCAGTAGCTCAGGTGGTAGAGCGAGTTGCCTCATGATCGGAGGGTCATGGGTTTGATTCCAGCTCCCGCCAGGGTTATCCTGCTGTTGTGTCCTTGGGCAAGACACTTCACCCGACTTGCCTGTGTTAGTGGTGGTCAGAGGGGCCGACGGCGCCAAATGGCAGCCTCGCCTCTGTCAGACCTCCCCAGGGCGGCTGTGGCTACAAGTAGCTTACCATCACTAGCAGTGTGTGAATGTGAGCGTGTGTGAAAAGCGTCTTTGGGTGTCTAGAAAAGCGCTATATAAGTTCAATGCATTATTAATATTATTATTATTATTATTATTATTATTATTTTAACACTTTAGCTAAATGTCTCCTCAGCATTCATTAGTGTCTGGAGTGACTCATCACTAAATTTAACTAATCAGCTGTGTTCATGATATAAAACATGCTAGAAGCAGACTCCAGCACCAGGTGTGTTAGCTCTACTTTTTTCTAAGTCCAACAGGGACCGGACCGGCACTCTGAAGTTGCAAGTGTAATATTCTGGCCACATAAGATGGTGGAGTCTGAGTGACATTTAACCCAGTACTTTTAGCATATACTGGCTCAAGAAAATTATTTAAAATAGGAAACATTTGCATAGTATGCCTTTAAGTTCATCTTGAGACATTTGCTTTTTGCTGTCGCCAAAAACAGATTAAATGTAAATGTAAAAATAATACAAATTAAAAAAACGTGTCATACGCATAAATTAAACTACAGGGTAAAATGTATTAATTAGTGCAGATAAGGTTTCATATTTCATCACACTTGCCCAAATAGCTGATGAATAGGTTCTGGTCATCCTCTCACATCATGCACAAAACAGAAGTCATAGGAGAAAATAAAAATATTTATCAGACCTGTCATGGTGTTAATCTGTAGCAGTCAGATCTTTTTGTCCAACAAATATATTTTCCGTTAAAAAAATTAAATAAAATTAATATTTAAACTTTTTACTGGATTTATGTGCAGCAGAAACTCTGAGGCGGTTCCTGCCTGTAAATTCACTGAGCTAACCAGGGGCGGATTTAGGACTGAAAAAGATCCGGGGCTTAACGCGCGCGCACATACACACACGTAACACACACTAGTCTTGTCATAAAACATTCGGGGCTTGAGCCCAAGTAACCGGGCCTAACGCTGCCCCTGGAGCTAACTCTGTATCAATTTCCCATCATGCATTTATGTCCACTTAAAACACAATTTTTGATTAAATTGATGCAATACTAACAAGATCTAATGTCTGCAGAGACTGTAGATGAAAAATTGATTAATTCCTTGTTAGACGGGCAAAGAAAACTAGGTTCCTCATGGGAGAGTTAGTCATAGATAAGATTTTGGACAGTTATAAATTTACAATATCTCTGTAAGTGCAGAGAAAGGTACAGCATCATTCCTGTGCATCCCGAGGTGAGGCTTTGCTGGGGAAATTTACACGCCTCCCTTTGCGTCAAGGAATAACAGCCATTACCCACAAAGCCCTCTCAAGCACACAGAAGCAGAGTTTGCCACAGGGCAAATCCCGACAATTGAAAGTGGCACATGCAAAGATGGGAGGTGGAAGAGGGGAGAGATGGGAAGAAATAAAAAAGGAAGAAAGGGGGAGGGAGTTAAAAGGATTCACTGACAGAAATAAAATAGAAGAGGAAGCGTGGGCAAGCTAAGGAGAAAGAACAAAGGAATGAAAATATGTAGGCACAGAGCTTCGGTTTTCCAAGTGTCTGAATGAACAGGAATCCAACAATGGAAATGCATCCCAAAAAAGGGAAAAAACCTAGTGAAACCATTTTTCTCAATCCCTGTTGTCCTCCTTTTTGTTTCAGAGATGCAGACATATCTAACACCCTCACCTCACTGTTCTGGTTTACAAGCCTGATGGAGCTCAACCAGGCTGTGTGGTTGGGCAAAGGTCACCTGCATAAAACCAGCCAAACTCTGTCACTCCAACTGAAAAGGTCAGCCGTGTTCCCACAGCGTCCTTCCACCTCAAGTCCAAAAAAATATGGTGGCCCCTACCCTCAGGATATATTGTTTCTACCCAGCAGTCTGGTTTAAGCTAGTGATATTATTGTGGAAAATACACACCATGAAGGAATTTTATTTATTAATTTTTATTCAATTATTGGAAAGTCATCAAAACTATCATATCAGGTAACATCAGCATATATATGGTAAACGGCCTGGATTTTTTACAGTGACTTTTTAGGGTTGTACAACCCCCCAAGTTGCTTCACAACAGTCAGTTATCCACCCATGCGCATGCACACATTCACAAGCTGGTGATGATGAGCTACGGTGTAGCCGCAGCCACTCTGGGGTGCACTGAGGGAAGTGAGCATCAACTCAAAACCACAGGAATAACTGTTTGCTCAAACAATAAAGCAAAAACTTAATGACCTGTAAGCTTGTTACTTTTCAGCTCTCATCAACAAAAGCCATTTCTGTTTAAAATGCAGGGGTGGTTCCAAGGTGGCCACCCTGAAGGCAAGCATGGACCCCACCCGTGCCCCCCTTGCTGAGGCCAGAGCTGACGCATTAATAAGTACAGGATTTTGTGACAAAAACATGGGAATGCATTTATTGGAAAGTGAAAAGAAATTCTAAGACAAATATTTTCATATTGTCACCAAGTCTAATAACTGAGTAAAGGTCTTTTTTTTTGCAAATTTATTATATTTTGAAACCAATTGAAAAGTTGTTTTATCTGAAGTAGCTGCGACTGAATTGCTGTTAAAAATACTTAAACACACATTTGTTATGTTGTCTTACAAATGTGCCTCTGTTTGCTGCCCCTCTTCCAATGTTAATCCCCTTTCAAAACCCATGCTTACTTCTGAGTTTCTGCACTACGTGATTCCAGATTAAAAGATAAATTGGAGTTTATTTAAAGATGACCCAGATCTCATTTACCATCTTTGTGCTGCTCCTGAAACCTGTTGGGAGCTATGTTTCTGGGCTGTCAAGATGAAATTCACTCAAAGGAACTGCAGCATACTGAAGGGAAGGGGCCAGACACTGCGGAAAGTACACTGTGGTTGCCCTCGGCCTTGTCTTTTTGTGACATTGGGGTCGGGAGTGCAGCGATATTATTGAGCGATGCACTTTTTTAGATGGTTCATGAATAAGACAAGATGACATAGATGTATGGGAAGGTTAAAGAAAATAGTTGGGAATTGATTTGTGAGCTCCTGTGAGAAAAGGTAAAAAGTAGAAAATGTAAGAACAAGTTAAAATGCTCATCAATTAATTAAAATGATCGTTTTAAAAATCCATGGGCATTCATTCAAATTGTTACTTTTTTATTGTTCAATCCTTTATTTCAGTTCCTCCTTTTTATTTTTAAACAACTTGGACCACAACTTTTTTCCTAAGAACTGGTTATATATTTAAATTTAAGAATTTAATTTCTCTACATATTGTAATTGTATTTTAGTTTTAATCTAACTTAATTTATTTATAAGTCCTTCAATTTGTAATCACTTTTTTCTCCTACTTTACCAGATTTCAAGTGTTGTTAAAGGCTCAAAAAAGAGCAAAAGCTTCAAAAACATAAATCATATAAAGCCTCAAGATCAAATTAAAGATAAAAGTTCATTTTAAGTTTAATACACTGACTGTTTTCTCCTTGTATAAAAATGTTCTTTCATGCATGGATGATTTTTGAAGTTTATATGTATAAATACAGGATTCTGTCTTGCCAGTTGCCACATCCCTTTAATCCTTACCATTCTGTTTATCCTAACGAGATCTTCGGGCTTTTTGGCCCAGGCTGGTAAGTCCACATCACAGATCATGTTTCCGTCCTCCCTCAATCCTAGATGGTAGCCATTGCTGTTGACAAACATCTCCGGAAGATAATAGAACTCAGGAATCAGTTCCTGCAGGAGAACAAAATAGGTTTGGAACCTTTAACGTCAGAGACATCACTGTTATCGTCCAACATGTCAGAAAAGAATAACTAACATCTGCTTGTACAGAGCCTTAAAAAAGCCATCTGGAAAAAGACACTACGTATCCCACTGAGATGAAGTGAAAATTCAAGGGGAAGGGTAACACAAACAAACTGAACAGCAGGTCATGGGAAGGTTGTTGAGAGGTGTTAGTCCAGTTATTCCAGGCAGAGGTGTGAGGTGTGTTAAATGAAACTGGAACCAAGTTGGGTTTTTCTCCCTGGTCTCTGAGCTCTTGTGATGGGGTCAGGACCTTGCTGTGGAGGGGAAGTTGGCCTGGTAAAAGAGCCCCAAATGTAAAGCCTCGTGCTTTCCAACATGAGAGAAGAAGGTTAATACAGCTATAGAAGTTGTTCCATAAACCTCTTTAAACAACTCCAAAAACTGTGAATTCCAAAACCGACGTATGTGCCCCTCTTTATAAAAAAGTTAGACTAAATCCTTAAAAATTATCTGTGCTAAATATGTCAGCCATTTCAATTTAAGTCGAGCCATTTATGCGAAATAGACAAAAATATCTCAACCACTAAACCTCAGCTCTGGTATATTTTCAGTTTTTGACTGAGGGGAGGTGTAGATGAAGCGTTTGATGTATAATATGTGCATGTGCAAGAATTAAAACAATTCCAAAAGTTTCTGATATACATTTAAATGCAACATTGGTCAATATGCAACATGCCTGTACCTTTGACTCATTCTCTTGACCATGCAACAAATGAAAGGTTAGATGTATAGCGGAGGATCCTTTTCTTCCGGGTAGATCATATGAACCATTGTGAAGCTTTCACACAAGGCCGTCGTCATATGAGCTCGTTCGCAGGTTAGTCTTCACTTCCTGTGCATTCTGTTTGTGTACAGCGATACGCCTTCATCCATTAATTCTACCGCCATTCTCACTGGGTTCTTTTGAAAATGGCTTGGAGTCACAAGAGAAAAAGTGTATTCAAAGAGGAGGAAGGCCTCTGAAGTGAGAAGTTTTTGAGACTCTTTTCAATGATGGCATAACATCCAGAAATGGTCAGTTTTCACCTACATGACCTGCATGCCACCGGTCATCTACAGACATGAATTCCATTCTCTAAGGTGGATTTTACATTCTATCTTCCAACAAGCCCAGAAGGTTCTGCAGGTGAGAACACATGATAACATATTGTCAACAAGCTGTTCCTGTTTCAAGGCCTAAGCTTCCCTTATCGCTTCTACAGGATTCCCCATGCCTCTGAATAAAGTGAACACTTTTACAACTCATAGGTTAAATAATCATTAAATAATAATAATATGGTTGAATGAACAAATGTTATATGAATACTGACATGTTTTGATTAATCTGTGCTTAAATTACTGTGGCTGAAATGAACATTATGATGTTATGATCAGTAATGTTTGGTTTAACAAGTGAATCATTATCTACACTCAGACACAGTGTTCATTAGAGATAAATTAAAGTTAAAGTAATTTCTGCACATAGATATTTCCTTACCCACAAATCAGAGCATCCTGGATCTGAAAGAAGGTGTGATGTTCTGAGGTTTGTTTGTTAACACCTCTTAACATGGCACGTCCCGATTGGCCAAGTAAATCATAATATGAGAATATTAAAACAGAATGACTTCTGAGTGATTCAGCATCCTGTTAGTTGAGCTAACTCTGACTGGCCATCGGAGGGAAACTCTGTTCCCATCGCATTTTTGACAAGCTGTCAAAAACCTGTTACAAGCTACAGCTGACACAGCAAAACAGTTCCTTCAGCTATTCAAAAACAGCTGTTCCAGACACAAACGATTTCATCTATCTGTTGTGATCCGGGAGATGACTCTGGACTGACCTAGTCATACTGCGTTTCTACAAACTTCGGTACCTTGGGGTCACCCGACCCGACCCTTGTTCAAACACTAGGGGGTGCTAAAAGCAAGCTAAAACTGCCAAGTTCTCCTTTAACTCATTCACTGCCATTGACGACTAAAGTCGTCATTTTAAATCCAACCGTTCACTGCCAATGACGACTTAAGTCGTCCTTAGCATTTTTTTTTTTACCGTTTGGGCATCAGAACGAGCCCCCGCGCCAAGAGAACAAACATCTCAGCTGTGAAGCCAATATTCATCTGCATACGTCACACGTCACATGATCAGGAAGCAAACATCCATGTGTTAGGAGATCGTTTTGGGCCTTTCCTGTAAAAAAAAAGGTGAGGCGCAAACCGGAAAAGCGTCTGCCGATCACAATTCGATAACGGATTATGAAAGAACGGATAACGCTCGAAACACGCAGATTCTTCCTGATGTAAGAGATGAGTCTCTGCTTTGTTTTGGTTGTTTTGGCATCAACATCATCCTAGCACGCAACGTTCTACGACTCTTAAAAATATAGTAAAAACGGTGAGAAACGCTGGCAGCGAAGGGCTTTAGCTATCAGGAAACGGCTGGCAGTGAATGAGTTAAGGAAACAAAAAAAATGTACATGCACCTGAGGTTTTTTTCAAGTTAGGTATGTCAAAGATGCATATCCTAAAGGTTGGTTTTTGCTTGACGCGTCCGCGAGGTCCGCACAGCTCCGCGTGGCGAAATTGCATCATTTTAACAACCACGCCCCTCCACCGTGCCTCCGCACGGCCCAAAATTGCTGCACCGCGCACCTAGGAAATTTTCTAACCACGCGGACGGTCGGACGCGGAAAAACATGGCGGACCGACAAGAACTAGTATGGCAGAGGTTCGTAAATACAGACATTTGTATGATTCAGCTCTCAAAGATCACCGTGATCAACATGTTGTTAATAATTCTTGGAGAGAAATAACTTGCACTGTCGGAAAAGACGAGGACGCTGTTAAAAAATGCTGGAATGCCATGTTGTAAACAGTAATTTCTACTTCTACTATGGTGTAGTGTTGGATGCATGCCGTAGAGCTCCATGCTGCCCCGTTCAGTTTGGGAGAATATTGGCTCACCGCAGAGACAAGCCACATGAACCATAAACGCTGTGAGTTGTGAAGCGCGTTCCATCCACGAGCCGCATCACCAAGCGGAAAGTGAATGCGTTAAACATTAACCAAGCTTTACTCTCTTTCTTGTCCGTTTCATGAATGCAGCTTCAGTGGAAATAATGAGCTTTATTCTGCCTATGGGATACATAACGTGAAGCAGTTTCAGGCACCAATAAATCTACAGAGTTTAAGACCACAAGTAACCACGACATGGTACAGGCCAATAAGACTACTGGTCTGCTGCTGGTCAAATTTCACCCTCTGAACACTACAGGAGGAGGAAAGAAGTAATTCCTCTTGGTTTCCTTCTGTCTCCCACGTACATAGACATCCACACAACCACACTTTCCCTCCTCTTTTTTTTTTGAGCTGTAAACTTCCTGCAGTAACTCACCACCAAGCCGTTAAAACTGCCAGCTCCGTTTTCAAGCCCCCCTCCCATGGTAGCCATTAATTCTGCAACAGCATCGTAATGGGCTAACAAGTCAATCACTCAAGCCTCCATTGCTTTACACTGTGTCACCTTAATGACATGTTTGTCAAAATCTGTCACCAGCAGAGTGCTGCTGGATTCCTTCAGACAACATACTGGCGGTTGTGTGTGTGTGTGTGTGTGTGTGTGTGTGTGTGTGTGCCCACTAGTTTACAGAACAGTCTTCTACCTTTTGCCCATGGGCATCTCTGCCAGCATAAAATAACTGTGCACATAGAAATAAATGAGGTATGGAGGCAGGTTAATATTATTGAGTAGATGGTCGAAGAGGCCAGATTGGTTGGAGAAAGGGGGTGCTACCAATGACGCCTCTTTTTGGAGGTCATCCCCAGCAGAAAATCCAGCCTCCCTTAGTTTTGCCATCATTACTATGGAGAGATGTTGAGGTTAATGAAAAAAGAGACCCCAAAAAAAAATTTTTTTAATTCTTTTAAGTCAGAGACCCAACAGGCTTCTTGGTGGTCTGAGCCAAGGCTGACCTTAACCCTTTTAGGCTACCGTGTCTCAATCTCAATCCGTGTTGTGCCAATTTACATGTTTTTTTGTTTTTCATGCATACTTTTGAGAAATGTAAATTTAGCTATAAACTTGTGACAAATAAAGCATTTTTAAACCATTAAATCTATTTAACCAGAGTAGCACAAACAAGCTATCGTGCAGCTTTTTCTTCTCCTCATACATTATAAAACATAGTCATCATGCAGGCGCGCAGTTAGGGTGGGGAATGGGGGGGATCTCTCCCCCCCAGATTCAGATCGACCCCAATCCGTCCTCCGCCCCAAGGCCAGAAAGAAAACAAAATCGGAGGTTAAGCGCTTGAAGGGACTTGCTCGTTATAAGAAGAAGAAGAAGAAGAAAATATCATTTCTATAGTGCCTCTCAAGATAAAAATCACGAGGCACTTCAATAAGCACCAAAGCCGCATTGCTAACTTTAACAAGTCTCATCTACAAATATGATCCCTCATGACATTACTACTTTACACCAGAAGATAGTGGAGATGTGTAACCTTCAGGCTGAGCAAAGTTTGGGAGTTTTTAGAGCTAGAAAAATGCCCTCCCCCGAGAGGCTCCCAGTCAGGGAGAGGAGGAGATGCGCGCAACATGAAGAGCGCAAATATTAGATAAAACGTATAATTGCCGGCAGGTCTGGTCTTTGTTGACTGATCACTTTGTCTGGTAATGACTGACTCCGATTATGAAGCAGAATATTGATTCTGATGAAGAAATTCACTCATCCAGCCGGGAAGATTGATGCTGCTGCAGCATCAAACAGCTGGTGCTGCAGGAGAGGTGTGTTCCATTGCATAGTGGCTTCAAACACGTATATAATAGTGTTAGTTTTTCGTAAACCATTGGATGAAATTACACAAACTCACTGAGCTCTAGTTAAGGCTCTTGCAATAGTTTGTGTGTGTGTGTGTGTGTGTGTACGTGCGTGCGTTTGTGTGTGTGTGTGTATATGTGTTTGGGGGAGGGTACATTGGAACTTTGTCTCCCCCAGTTTGAAAATCCTATCTGCGCCCCTGTCATCTTGTGTTGCCTTTTACAGCTCAATGCATCTCCTAATAGTTTAGCAACCATCCTGCATGTAAAAACAAATGCATGCAGACATACATGTAGTAGACTGTTTTTGTTAACAGGGTGGCGTTTGACTATCATGTTGTTCTCTGGCTCGCAGTGTTCTCCCTCTTCCACAGATTGTCGGCTCTTCCCCAGATCCTGGTGAGTAAAAGCCCTGTCTGTACATAAAAGACTACATTTTAAAAGCGTTTGTCATTAATGCTTTATTAATTGCCCGAGGCAACGCTACCCAGTGCAGGGTGTGCTAGAAATATATGACACTTTGAGGTCAGTGCGTATCCCTGATGCATGTTATGCAGTGGGCAAAATGGAGGCGAATCAGCAGGGTTCAGCGTTTTCGGAGAGCGTGCGGGGAATCTGCAGAGAAAGAGCTTTGTTTTTTCCCTTTGGATGCAGGCTTTGTTCAAGATCAGTCTGCCTCTGAAACAGTTTGGTTTCTGTATGAGATAAAAGAGATATGTATTGGGCATGGCTGTACACAGTAGATTTTTTACTTTTGGATAAATGAGGCAATTATAGTGCTGAAATTTTTATTTTTGCATTTTTGGGAAGGTTTAATAAGGAAGATTGTTATAATTCTAGTAGCAGCTCCATTATATTCACCTTTCCTACGTTTATCTCAGCCTAGACAAGAACAAGTACACCTGCTTAATGCAGACTATAAATTATACTAATTGTACAATTTGGTACAATTCTCACCTTTACATCAGAGGTGTCTCTTTGACAGTTTCTCCACGATCGAGCGATGGAAGAAAACGTGCGGTCAGGGTGGTCAAATTTGTTGTTGTTGGCACTCAAAAAGAAGGTGGTAAAGGGCTCCTACAGTGAAAGAAAATAAGTCAAATTAGAGAAAGAGCACCATTCACATTTAAAATGACTGTTTGTCCACCATTCTGACATTTTTACTGTAAAGTACAACAGCTGAAATGCACCATTTAAAGATGAATATGATCCATAATGTTTAGAGATTTATGCAGAACACATAGATAATCTCAATTTTCAGCAGGTTAGATTTTTTTTCTCCTACAAGATGATAAACTATCTCTTCAGAGATTAGTCGTTCATTGTATTCCAGCCTGAGGGAGAATTAATTAGAGTTCTTACTGTGAATAATAAGCCATAATGATAATTGGGTGAATTTTCCTTTTCCATGATTGTAATAGCAGCCATTCCCAGATGGAGTGGATGGATCACTCACCAGAGAAGAAACTAAATTGTGGGAACAAACCCACTGAGACCAATATAACTGCTGTTAAGGAACTCCCTCAGTTCATCAACTCACTAATAACGAGATGTGTGTGTGTGTGTGTGTGTGGGGGGGGGGGGGGGGGGGGATCTTCTCTATAAAGCTGTTTCAATTTTCTGAGCGTCTTTAAAGTTACACTTATAGCGACTCAAAGGAGCCCAGCGGGTATAAGGGCCTGTTTTATAGGCAACACACTGGAGGTGCATGTGCATCCTGCTTCTCTTCCACAGTAAATGAGGACAGTGCTCAGTAACCTTGATGGACATGTCTCCAGCGCTCACTGGGTTGCCTGAAACACATAAACCTGTCACAGCAGCCCCCTGTAAATCATTACCCAGCCACTCTTTATTTAGTTCACATATGCTGGTTTACTGGCCTGTGAAATGTGTTTTGTGAAAGCCATTGGTCTAACTCAGACCCAATCAAATTGAAATGTTGAGCTACATCCTGTGCAGAAGCTGACAGACCTCAAAGTAACGGCATCATCAAGTCTGACAAGTGACAATCAACCACTGCAGAAAAAAATTAAATAAAAAAATATGCTGTCTGGAGTTTTGACTTAATTCACTTACTTGACTAATTCTGAACACAGTACAATAATAGCAGTGAGGTGGTTAAGGTGGGGGATTGTACTCACTATTCTGACAAGCCAGTGCAGAACATTGGCAGTGGTGGAGTAGTGAGAGTCATAATGACATGGCGGTGTCTGGTCATCCTTCCATGTCTCATAACGCTCAGCGTAAAAAGCTGCTCGCTTTGGATTCAGTGCACCAACAGGCTGAAAAATAGAAGACAATTAAAAGCTTTGTTGCGGTAGTGAGGTACTAAAGCATTACTCGCCAATGTAAATTAAAATACATTTTCGTTTTAAGGCACTTGTACAAGTTTGTGTTTGTACATCTTATAAGTCTAGTGTTTAGAAGAGGCAAACAATGAACTTACTAAATGAACTTTTTCATTAAACATGAATTACATTTACAACTTTAAAGATGGCATGCACTTGTTATTTAAATACAACCACTGTGGTCTCTTGGCCTAGAAATCTAGACAGACCGTAGCAGAAGCAAAATGATTTTGCTTTGCAGGTAGGTCTAGCTATGTTCCATTAGAATTATGCGTCTTGCCAATCACAGCAGTCTATCAGTATTGTGGGCCAATCACAGTGCTCTATCAGTTTGGTAAGCCAATCACAGCAAGCTATTGGTTTGATAGGGGATGTTACTGCACCCCAGTGAAAAAACAAAAGATGGTGATGGCTCATTTGAAACGGCCCAAGAGACTTTGGACCATTTAGATTTGGGCTTTTCCTTGAGTGAAGAGCAGATAGAGGTACGTAAGTTTGTTATTTAAAAAAGGATGTATTTGTGCTTTTCTGTTGAAAAAAGCTCTGGCACTCCTGTTTCAGGAAGTAGTAGTTAGTTGGGGAGTGGAGGGCAGAAAATGGTAGGATTTGGATTCTTGCTCATTAGTATTCATGATATGCAAGTGCCTCGCCTCTGATTGGCTAATAGCAATGCAACTCTTCTGTTGCCTCCATTTGCTCTACGTTGATGTTCTGCTATTTTTGAAGTTGCTAATGCTAATGGTTAGCTTATACTAGCCAAAACATGATCTGGTCTCACCTGGATGATAAATCAGTAAAACCTCCCGCAGTCCCAAGCCACGGTGGGTGAGGCCATGAATACTAATTATCCTTGTGATGTAGAAGATGCTTTTTTTAACCCGATCATTTCCCCATTTATTTCCTTTCAGCAGCTAAAGCAGGAAATGGAGGTGGAAGACATTTTTCAAGTTCAGCATGCATGTGAAACTCAGTGACTGATCCTATTAGAAAAACAAGTATGACGGGGTTTTAAGAAACTGCACTCAAGAAAATACATCTAAGATAATAATTTGAAGCATTTTCTGCATGGTGTTAATTTTGAGAATGTCGGACACAATTTCTTTGATAAATGATAACTGTGATGCCTTTTGGTAAAAATGATTAAGTTCATGATTAGAATAAGTTACATTGATAAGTTAATAAAAAGTTAAAGTGCCTACATGTGAAAAAGGTTCAAACGTTTTTAATTCTAAAAGCAGTTCATAGTGAGAAATTGTTGTTGCAGAAGATCTTTGTTTTAATGCTTGTGCAGAAACACAAGAGAGGGAATGCTCTTGCCTCGAACGGATCTTTGATTTGAGTTTCTCCGTTGTTTCAAACGTTTAGTCCGACAAGACAGGTAAGATGAGAGTAAACGGCTTACAAACACGCTAAAAGTGCTTTATATGTTTTGTACCTTGGAGGATATTCGTCTTTGTAAGCATTGATATGTTTGGGAACTATTTATACATTTGTCACTTATTTAATAATATGTATGCATGCTACTAAGCTAAGCTGTTAAGCGTGACACTGGGATATGTGTATCAGTTAGTAATGTGTTCTTTTATGTATGTTACAGTTAAGATGATAAAACTATATAAAGATCTTCAGTTGAGAAAAGATAGCCTCGGTGAAGATTCCTTTTTTTTGTTTTTGTTCGTTCGCTAGCTGTCTAGCTCCACATAGCTACGTGTTGTGAGGGCGGCATAATAGCAAATGGACTTGAACAAGAAAACAAGAAATATCAGTAGACCAAAAGTAATCAAGTTGTATAAGTAGCAGTTATATAATGTGAATAATTCACTTGTATAAAAACATAATGAATAATGCATGAGGAGCCAGTTGAGGATGCTACTGGACATCTCCCTGGTGAGGTTTTCCAGGCACGTGGAGAAGACCTAAAGGAAGACTCAGGACACGCTAGAGGGATTATGTCTCTCCGCTGACCAGGGGGACGCCAAATCCCGGTTTTACACTGCAAGCATCAGCGGAATGGAACAGCAGCGGAGCGGCTCACTCGTGAACTTCAAAGTGGTCCTTTTCACACCGGGAGTCTTGGCCGCGGCACAGCTTTCTCGCTGCGCCTCGCTGTACTCGCGAGATTCTAAATTCCCTTGAGATTTCCGTCATCCTTCCTCATCAAGAGATCACAACCCCCATGAGGAATCACACCATTGCACTTCTCAAAAGAAACTGGTGGTAAACAAAGCTGTTCGGTCACACGTGCTGACGTAAGTTATATATAACATTGCAACGTTGCATTTTATTTGGAAAATAACCGGGGATTTTACACTGAAACCGTGTGTGGTTTCCTGTCTCGCACTATGTGAACTGCGGAAATTGATGTGTCCCAGAAGCGCCTAGCGGAAAAAATAGAACTCAATCCTACCTTTAGCGGCGCGGCGTGGCATGCCACTTTGGGACATGCCTGAAAACTGCTGAGTCACGGCTGGTTTGAAACACTCCATAGACTATAATTGGATTCTATTTGAAGCAGTGCCGCTTTGCTGTTGTTCTGTTCCGCTGATGCTTGCAGTGTGAAACCAGGGTTAGGATTCCCTCAGAGGAGCTGGTCCAAGTGGCTGGGGAGAGGGAAGTCAGGGTTTCCATGCTTAGGCTACTGCCCCCACAACTCGACCCCGGATTAGTGGCCAAAAACAAATGGATGGTTGGAATTTATTTATAACTAAGATGCTTGATATTACAGAACTTGAGAGCTTTACTGAGTTTACATGTAGCGAGTCCAGCAGGGGTTGTTGAAAAGTTAAAAAAAGACGTAAATTTTTCTGTCAGATCACATTTTCCCCCTGAACGTTAAAAAGGTCCTGCTACACAGACTTCCAGCTAAGTTGTAAAGGCAAAGGTGAGGAGGGTGGTGCACCCTGCTCAATGTTGATTGTAATCCACTAAGATTAACCCTGACTGGTTTATACCCAAACAAGCCGCAAACTAAACAATTAACCTGCACTCCTACTTCTGGTTATGCTCAGAGAGCTTCTGGGCTACTGAGGGTTGACAAGAAAATGTTTTAAAATGTGAATACAAGACTAGAATTCTTGTGAGCATGAGTAGACCAACATTTCACCACAGATTCCCACCATATAAGAACCACTTCATTCTGAACTTTTGCCATTTTAAGATTTTTGTAAAATCAAAAAAGTTGTGAAATAATTATATAAAGTTCATGTTTCTATTAGTATCAATCTGATATTCTGGTAAATACAGAATTTAATCACAAAAATAATATTAAAAAAAGATTATTTCTTCTATATTTATTTGCTATCCAACCAATTATTTAAATCTCAGACAGAACCTTGGCTAACAGCAGCTATGATTTAACCGCAGCCTAAGCAATAACATCAGTGTTGCCCTGACACCATCACTGGGCTTTTGCCCTTTGGCAGCTGCTTAATTTTCATGTGTTTCTAATGCAACAAAATTACAATCATTAAACAAATGTTATGTGGTGAAAAAAATGTCTCTTTCTGCATTTTCAATCACGCCATCCTATTAAAGAGCCCCAGAGGCATATTGGCAATCAATATTAATATACTCAGTCTTACTGAATCAGGAACATAAAATAACGTAATCACTGGCAGCTTTTACCTGAAAACTGCAACATGAGGGTCAGAAGAAATAAAAATAAAATCCGTCAGCTGCAAATGACCTGATATTGATGTCTGCAAATGAGGCAGTTTTTCTAGCATCATTAAAACTACACAGCTAATCTTCAGCCAAATAAAATGGGCGGGGGGGGGGGGGGGGGGGGGGTCCGTCCATTTAAAGATTACAGTTGTCCCTGTGTGTGAAACGGTGCACATTCCTCACGCTCAAAGTTAAAAGAAAGAGGGAGTGGTTTTCGGGATCTTTTCCTACATTTAATGGCATTCCACATCAGTGTTAGCACAAGCGAATAGACTGAAAGAGAAGTTTATTGAGATCTACATAGATTTATGGGGTGGTAATAGCCTTGCCTGTGACGTCTTGGCCCAGATGGATTGGGGTGCAAGCCACAAGACGTCCCACACGCTGTCAGACCTCTGCTAGTTTGACCAATGCGGCTCACAGTGGTATTAAAGTAACCTTCTGCTTAAGGCGGAGAACTGTAAATAACCTTTGTGAGTGCAAATAAAGAATTGGCTTTACAGTTTCTCTTGTCACTGAACTTTTGAAAACAGTACAACACACAACTAAGGGCAGGAAAATGTGATTGGCATAATATTAAGCGCTAAAAACATTCTAATGTAGTTTTAGCATGCAAAAATTAAGTTTTTACTTCACTTCTAAAAACATTCTCTGTCACCTGACCAGAAAACCACCCACAAACCTCAATCAGGAGCCAAGTTACAGGGAAGGCATCCAAACACAATCTAACTGACAAGGTATTTCCTATTAATTCTTCTGTTTGGCTGCACATGAATGAAGCTAAATGTTCTCACAGTGTTCCCAAGTTGTTCAGCTGTGTAAGCAGAAATATAATGAGAAGTATGACTCGTGTGGAACAAAATATGCTATTTTTGTTGCCCAAGAAACTTGTAGTTGGCAGAAAGAAAACAATGGTTAAATACAACACAATTATATGGCTGCTTTGTTAAACAGTTTACCCCCTTTAATGAGTAAGTCTGCACAGATTGATGCCACCTTAAAGAGCAAGTCACCCCCTACCAAAGTTTCACTCCATGCGCACTTCCTGTTAGAAAAATGGGCCAAAAGGAGGGATTGCCTAGCGGACAGAAAGGGTGCCACCAGGGCAGTGACAGACAGCATGCCAACACACACCTCCCACCCGCTCGGAGCTTTTCCATCTGGGAAATGAGCTGCTAATAAACACACACACGCACACTTGAGACTGCCTGTTTAAAGATACACTATACTTCTTTTTAATATTTTTAAATTATTTCCTTGAACCAGTATGT